TGCTGTAATGCTGATACTATGGAGCTATATGCATTTAGAGAATTAGGAAAACTCCTGTTGCTCCCATTGTATCTTTCTTGCCGAAATATCATTTTCAGTGCTTCTTGCATGGGTTTTTTTTGGATTAGTTACTTATTGAGATAATTTCTTTGTTTTGGTGCTTCATATTTTGCAGGGTAATGGGTGCTGCTGCTCTTCAAAAGTATATTGGTAGCTTAGGTGGAATAGGGGCATCTGGTGTTGGTTCCAGTTCATCATATTCTCCTAAAGAATTGAATAAGGATATCATGCCGGAGAAGGTGAGATATTGCAATATATAGAAGTAGAACGTAGTATATGAAAAGGGCAATATTTTTTTCCACTAATAAAAGTGACAGAAACTGCATTAGCAGTTTAGCACATCTCAAATTTTCCTCTCTTTTTTTTTCATATATGCCATTTGTTATTATTTATGCAAATATCCATTTATGTATTCCAGATGATCCCTTATTCCCTCATGGTGTTTTTATTCAGAATGTCAAGACATTTAAAGATGTCAAAGGGTGTGATGACGCAAAGAAAGAACTCGAGGAGGTAGTTGAGTATCTAAAAAACCCTTCAAAGTTTACTCGGCTTGGTGGAAAACTACCGAAGGTAATTTCTATATGCAAATTGCATTCTTTGTGTTCCATATCATGCTCCGCGGAATCTTCCAGATACATATCTGTGTGTTCTATATTATTATTGATTGAAATTTCAAAAGATGTAAACCTTGATGTTTAATTTGTCTTTTTAGGGAATACTTTTGACTGGTTCTCCAGGAACTGGGAAGACTCTGCTTGCTAAGGTAAACTAGTTCAGAGTGCTCCATTATTGTTTCACGTGTTTGATCTTTGAGATTTTGTAGAGGAAAGAAATCCGTCCACCCAAGCATTCGGTTTGCTGAATTTTCTATTTACATCCTTTCTCCCACTGTCATCTTCGGCATATCCTTCTCATTGTCTGCACATATTCTTATCAAATATTAATACATGTATAAAGTAGTGGTAACCACTGTTCTGCTGTTTTGTGCTTTTCTTCTGTCAATGCATCTAGTCTAGATGACATTTTCATGCTTTCAGACTTACTCAAAGCTCTTTTTTTTTTCTAGTTACTCTTTTCTCCAACGTTCATTTCCTTCATAAGTTCGTACCTTACTGGAGTTAACTTTGTGCTTTAGGCTATCGCTGGTGAAGCTGGTGTGCCATTTTTTTATCGGGCAGGTTCTGAATTTGAGGAAATGTAAGATCTCCTTGTGAATAATATTTTTTGGTCTTGTTTAGCCGTTGAGTAATAAAATGCAATTATTGGTTATTTTGCAAAGTATTGGTTTTATCTACATGTTTGCTATTCAGGTTTATTCTGGAATAATATTGAATTACTAACTTTGTATTTACTATTGAATGCATTGTACTGATAAATGCGTATTTCTCCTACTAATGTTTTTCTTGTTTTTAATCAGAACTTACCTTCTCTCTTGTCAGGTTTGTTGGTGTTGGTGCTCGGAGAGTGAGGTCATTGTTTCAAGCTGCAAAGAAGAAGGTTCTGATTTCTGAGCCCTTTCTCTAAACATGTGTTGCTCTGAGCTTAATCTCACCCAGTTTGCCCTTATGATTTCTAGATCGTAGTGTGTTGCCTTGTTAAACATTCATAGTTTCCCTCTTTACAGGCGCCATGCATTGTTTTCATTGATGAAATAGATGCTGTGGGTTCAACTAGAAAACAGTGGGAAGGACACACAAAGAAAACATTGCATCAACTTCTTGTCGAGATGGATGGTTTTGAACAAAATGAGGTAACCTTATCACATATTTAACAGTCCATCACACAGAGGACTTTATGTAAATTGTGTTTTCTATTGATTTTGCAGGGAATAATTGTGATGGCTGCGACAAACTTGCCAGATATTCTTGATCCAGCACTTACAAGACCTGGTAGATTCGATAGGCATGTAAGTAACTGAGTAAATATTTGTTACTCTTCTCATGTACTATCAGCAGTTCATATTTATTGTAATATTCCATATTAATTTATTTGTTTGAGCTGCTTTAGATTGTTGTCCCCAATCCTGATGTGCGGGGACGCCAAGAAATTCTCGAGCTCTATTTGCAAGATAAGCCAGTATCCAGTGATGTGGATGTTAATGCGATTGCCCGCAGTACTCCTGGCTTCAATGGAGCTGGTATGCACTACTATAATTTGAACAATCTTAAACTGTTATCTTGAATTCCATTTAATAAGCATTGACTATGAGGTTTTTCACATGAAGATAAGCATTTTAAAGTTACTTGCTACATTGACCTGTCACCTGGTTTTTCCTTTCATCATTTATTAAGTGCTAACTTGCTTGTATTCCTCGTATCAATATTTGGAGGCACTATAAATTTTTACACGTATACATGTAGGAAGACTCATACTAATTATTTATTTCTTTCTGTTAGACCTTGCAAACCTAGTAAACATTGCAGCAATTAAGGCTGCAGTTGAAGGTGCTGACAAGTTGGCTGCTGCACAGTTGGAATTTGCGAAAGATCGTATTATCATGGGAACTGAGAGGAAATCAATGTTCATATCTGACGAATCCAAAAAGGCATGCCTCTTCAAGTTACTTTATTTTATTTTAAGAGAGTTAATAGTTATAGTGCCTATGTTTACCTATAGAGTGCCGTTATGGTGGTCTCTATTGTTAGTATTCTACTACCAGCATTGTTGTCGATATGCTTTTAAATGCAGAAATGTGAAATACAATACACTGATCATTATGCATTTTTGTTATTTAGCTTACGGCCTACCATGAAAGTGGGCATGCTATTGTTGCACTCAACACCCAGGGTGCCCACCCCATTCACAAGGCTACTATCCTGCCTCGTGGCTCTGCCCTTGGAATGGTCACACAGCTTCCTTCACAGGATGAGACTTCTATTAGCAAGAAACAGCTGCTGGCACGTCTTGATGTTTGCATGGGTGGCAGGGTTGCAGAGGAGCTCATTTTTGGGGAAGACAATGTTACAACTGGGGCAAGAAATGATCTTCATACTGCAACAGAGCTTGCTCAGTACATGGTAATTATTTTATTACCCATGAAATTTTCCTGTTAGGTGTTTAAATAGCTTAACTGAGTTGCTGCGTAGGTATCAAATTGTGGGATGAGTGATGCTATTGGTCCTGTGCATGTGAAAGAACGGCCAAGTGTTGAGATGCAATCAAGGATAGATGCTGAGGTACATTTTCATAGTAATATTCTTTATAGTTTGGCTATTTCATTTGGCCAGGCATTAGTTTAAGGTGCTCCCTTTCCTAATGTTTTTTTGTCATGCTAACTCCTGTTGTAAATTCCTTCGAGCATATTTAGCATAGTAATTAGTAGCACATGAGTACTTCACAACTACAAGTTGTGGTTGCTCCTTTTTGTAGTATATATATCAGTAATCCAGTATTCATAGGCCATTGTCTGCATTGCCAACCTTAGTAAAACTATGCTGCATTGGATGGTGATCTATTTTTCATATGATGATCTTGTAGGTCGTCAAACTCTTAAGAGAAGCTTATGGGCGGGTCAAGCGTTTATTGAAGAAGGTATGTTTCTCAATCTTGATGGGAGTTTTTCCCTAGAATGTTGCTTTGATCCCCTGCCTAAACACAGAACAAATTCACCTTTTATTTTCTTTTACTACAAGTGCTGAATCATCCTTCCAAACTTCTTGTCAGCATGAGAAGCAATTACACGCTTTAGCAAACGCCCTGCTGGAGCGTGAAACACTCACCGCAGATGAGATAAACAAAGTGGTTCATCCCTACCAAGAAGAGCCGCAGCTTTCTTTCCAAGAAGAGGATTTTGCGCTAACTTAAAGGAGGACCTTTTTGTTGCATCAAGGCAGTAGACCCAGCTGTAAATCCATGTACAGTAGTAATTGGCGCCTTAGATAGCACAAAGCCTCTTTTCATTTCTCCCATCTTGCAAATCGGGGTGCATCACATGGAGTTTTGCACCACGCAAACTGGCAGGAAGTTTTAAAAGATGGGAAGACCGGTTTTGCAAGGTGTTGCACGCCGACCGATTATTACTGTGGCGAGGCTCATTGTGGCGCCCATCTTTGCCCAGCAGCAATGCTCCTGGGTTGAGAAGTTCATACTCAGCTTAGTTAGGAAAAAAGGTGAAAGTGTAATTTTTTTGGGAACTTGTAACATTGCATGTTTGGCGTTGTAGAATTGTGTTTGTGATATATATATTTGCATATTTGCAAATCACATTTTTCTTAGACTCTTTCTACCCAATTAATTTTGTAATTAAAACGTGCATACAACAGATGGTGAATTGGTGATACCCGGATCTCAGATGAATCCTTCAAAACCTACTGTTCCAAACAAAATCAGGTGAACAATCAGGCGTTTACTTTTGCAAATAGACCAAAAAAAAAGATTTTGCACACAATCGTAAGCCCCGTTCTGTTAATCCGGAGATGGATCAAGTGAATAACTGTGTAATTGGCCAATTATGATCTCGGCTCGCGCCCAAAGGGCTCCACACGTGTCTCTGCCCCCTCGCGAAGAGGAGGGCGCGAGCGCTGAGACTTTCCGCGTCTCCGCGGCCGCATCTCTGCGGTTGAGGGCCCGGGGACTTTCCAGGGCTACAAAGAGCCCGCTCACTTCGTCATGTGCTCGTGATAAGGGGGGCCAACTACTACCCTTATAAGTGCGTGGCTTCCAGTGTAAATTGGCGAGGTGGTACTATTGGGGCTTTGGGAGCATGACTACCAGGTGTTGTAGATAGAGAGTTTGGGCTTTTAATCCTCGAACCATGTAGGTGTGGAATCCGGCCCGTTTAACGTTATGCTTGAGCCTACCAGGTAGGAAGGGTTTTGTTCTTTTATAAAGTATAAACATATCACTCCCCCAAAAGTATTTCGCCACTGTACGGTGAGGTGAAAAAGATTCAAAAGGATAAATAATCTGACAAAATAGTTTTAGAGAGCAAAAGATGATTGCCAGCACTAAAATCCGTAATATAAAATTTCATTCCTCATCGAAGCAGCAGATTTACATGAGTTCACTATACCACATGAACCCATGGCAAGAACAGTTGCCATTTTTATTCAGCAGCCTGCAGAGCTTCGCAAGCCACCGGGACAGGCACTACTACCATTTCCTTACAAATTTACACATGAAAAAAAAAGAAAAAAAAACCTACAACAAAGAGAGAGGCTATACCCTTTTGTATGTACGATTCGATGAACCAACCAAAGAACCAAAAGAACCCAAAGAATGTACACTCTTGCTCAAGCGAGCAAAAACAAATGGCGATCAATGCCGAGCGACTCAGGCCTCGGAGACCAGCTCCTTGTTCCGGACCGACACCGGCGGCGCCGCCGGGAACACGGTGCCGGCGATCCCCGGCCACCAATACTGCTGCAGCCGCTCGACGCCGGGCAGCTGCCACACGATCTCCGGCTGCTTCCGGCGGCGCGGCACCCTGGTGAGCGCGTTGAGCGCCCGGAAGTAGTTGCTGGACTCGTGGTCGCGGAGGATGGCGCCCTCGGAGCCGTACGCCGACAGGTCGCTCAGCGTCTCCAGCGGGTGCGGCGAGTTGAGGAACGCCCGCAGCGCGCTCGCCACCACGTGCCTCGCCGGCCGCTCGGCTCGCCCCTCCGGGTCCAGCCGGAACAGCGCCGCCCCCTCCGGCAGGAACGGGTGCGGCGGCGACGCCGCGCCGTCCGGCTGCAGGATGTACGTCGTGCCCATCGGCGTGTACAGCATCCTCTGCTCACACACAACGCAACGGGCGTTAGGCCAGGCCACAGCAACGGTGACAGATACAGCTAGCCGCGCGACGACGGCGGCGGCGGCGGCGATCGTGGCTCCTCACCTGGTTGTTGAGGCAGGGGTGGTTGCGGAGCACGCCGTTGAGGCGCTTGAGGAGCGCGACGGCGTGGCCGGGGTAGCGGCAGGAGAAGGCCCGTGGCACGATGTCGCGGTGCATGGCGACGGAGCGAACGTGGCCCTCGCCGACGCCGAGCGCGTCCAGCACGCGCTGCCCGCCGCAGAACACGGACGGCGCGCCGAACGTGACCACGGGGAGCAGCGCCTCCGGGCCGACCACCCCGCGCGCCACCAGCATCAGGCTCACCAGAAGCGCCAGGCTGCCGCCGAGGGAGTGGCCGGTCAGCCGCAGCCGCGCCCGCTCGCCGTGCGCCGCCAGGTGCGCCGCGATCTCCGGCATCAGCTGCTCGTAGATGCCCTTCGCCGCCTCGTAGATGCCCCTGTGCACCAGCACCCCTGTCTCCTGAACAGTTGATCGATCGAGACGCCGTCAGAAATCAGCACTAGCTACTTCGCCATGGATTTGTTCAGTTCAAGCTTTCTTTTTCTCTCTCTCTTGTTTGATCTGATCAAGAAGAAGAATACCTCGAACATGGTGGGCTCGAAGAGGAGGTTGGCTTGCCATGATGCGAGCGAGTCGGAGCCCTGGATGACGAAGCAGCGGGTGCGCGCGTCGGCCTCGTCGCAAACGAACCACTCGCACGGCGAGGACAGCGGCGAGCGCAGGTCGCGCGCGGCCTCCTGCCGCGCCTCGTCCTCGGCGGCCACCACCGCCGTCACCGTCGACGCCGCCACGTACGCCGCCACGCCGGAGTTGTAAAGCCGGCCGTGCCCTCCTTCCTCCGCCCGCGGCTGCTGCCCGCCGGCGCCGCCGAACGAGAGCAGGCCGCGCGCGCGCGCGTGCACGTACGACGCGGCCGACGCGGCCACCTCGTAGGCCAGGTGCGACCGGATCGGCCGCCGCGGCTGCGGCCCCGAGGTGGTCGCCGCCGCCGCCTCGCACGCCGGCGCGGCGCGCGGCCGCGTGGAGTCGACGTCCAGCTTGGAGCGGATCTCGCCGGCCTCGGCCTTCTTCTCCAGCGACGACGTGACGAACCGCAATCCGTAGTATTTCTTCAGCTCCTCAACCTTGAATTCCAAACAAAAATCCGTTCTTTCATTCATCAGTCATCAGGTATTTTACTCGCATTTCACGTCCATTAATCTAGTTCGTCGTTCAGATTAACATTGCCAACTGAAAATTTCGATTGGGAATTCATTTCTTTGCAAAACCATGACTCGAGGTTTGAAATTGATGACCATCGTGCAAGCATGGGATTTACAAGCTGCCTATGATTAAATGCAGGAACAGCAGTACAACTACTCCTAAATTGCTAATCCACGACAACTTTTCAGCCAACCACCGAGAGAAATACAGAGAACTACGTGGCCGTTTTCTCCTTAATTCCAGAAAACTATACGTCGATTTAGGGATTAAGGGCACATAAAGCAGAAGGTACTCCTCATTAGGAGTCAGGTCCCAAAAACATACTCTGGATATACGTCAAATCGAAGTTTTAAAACTTTGATCACCGCATTTATATACATTTAGACACATGTTGGTATGCTACAAATTAGTAATCAAATTTAAATTAGAAGGCGACAGTGTCAATTTTGCAAACAATTTATTGCCCAAATTTTGCAAATAAGTCAGGTCCCAAAAACGTAGTTTGGACATACGTCAAATCGAACTTTTAAAAACTTTAATCACTGAATTTATATACATTTAAGCGCATGTTGGTATGCGACAAATTACTAATCAAATTTAAATTAGATGGCGACCGTGTCAATTTTGCAAACAAGTTATTGCCAAAATTGCGCAGAATGTATCCAAAATACTGTATGTTTTTACCAAAGCGAGGAGTGAAGCTGTGTGTGAAGGAAAGTTGTTTTTCTTGGTGGGGTCGCTAATTACGAGACGGAATAAGTCTTGTGTGCATGGACAAATCGGAACATGATGAGGCCATTTATATATTCTAAACTCAATCAAGCATTCAAAGCGAATCGGCGAGCGTAATTAAGACGGGGTTCTTGCTACTGCTACCAAAATCCGGCAAACATTTAAAGCCATTCTCCGAACCAAACCGCATTAATTAGCCACCCGAAAAAATTCTACGCGAAATTAGTTCAGTTCAACCCCTGGCTGAACCGACGACGTCGACGAACATCCCAGCCTGTACGTGCGAGGACTCACATCTTTTTCTCGCTTAATTTTTTTTAAAAAAAAAGGCAACGTTTTTGTTAGGTGAGCTGCCGCAGCGGCCAGATCAGCTGATCACGGCCGTCGGCGGCTGATCGGACGGCGAGGATTTTACGTTTTTTTTGTGTGTGTTGGTGTCGGGCTCACCTTGATCTCCGGGATGACGTAAGCCATGTTGCAGAGGAAGGCCAGCTGCGCGAACAGCCGTGCCTCGCCGAGTGGGGCCCGCGCCAGCAGCTTGCTGAAGGACTCCCGGTCCCACCTGTCATCCACTTGCTCGTCGTCGTCCTCGTAGTTCACGCCGCAGCCGTCGTCGCCGTCGAGGTGGTAGACGTCGTCGTCGTCGTCGTCGTCTTGGAAGATGAGGCCATTGTTGTCGGAGGAGTGGCGCTTGGTCGGGTCGTGGAAGCGCGACCGGAGCTCGAGGAGGCGGTCGAGCCAGTGGGCGTCGGGCCGCCGCCTGGCCGCCGGCATTTCCGGCCCGGGGGCGTCGTCGGGCTCGTCGTCGGGCCCGGCGACGGTGAGCAGCCGCGACCCGTCGCCGCCGCCGTCGGGGAGCGGCGGCGTGCGCAGCGGCGCGGCGCCGAACTGGAACGGGAACACGCCGATGGACCGGCTCGTGGTGAGCGCCGCGCCGGCCGCACCCCCGCGGCGAGAGCACCGGAGGTGCGGCTCGGACCGCGACCGCCTGATCCCGGCGTGCATCGACGCCGGCTCCCTCCTCGCCCGCCTCCCCCCGGCCGACGCCGCGGCCGCGTGCGCCGCGGCGACGCTCGCCACCATGAGAACAGGTGCCTCCCTCTGTGTCCTTCCTTGTCGCCGCCGGCGGCGAGGGCAACGAAAGAGGCGATTGGCGCGGCGGTGGTTGGCGTTTGCGTTGGTTAGTTTCTTGGTGGAGAGGAGGGGCGGGGGGCGGTGAGCCCGTGCGTCCGATGGAGCACGGGAGAATCCGGGGGGAACGGGGGATGGGGGTCTTAATAGTTGTACTACTAGCACGCAGTAAGTATAAGCAGGTCAACCGCCCGGCCCGCCGGGCGAAACCGAAGGAAAATTTGGATGTGCGGGGAAGCCCACGACGGCGTGATTACTGATGGGATGGGTAGCGGAAATGGCCACGAGGCCCCGTGGTATTGGCCGATTTGTTCGAATACTCCCTCCATTCCAAAATACCATTAGTTCTAAATTAGTGGTCACTTAAACTTTTTATTATAATATTAAACGGTCCATCTTATTTAAAAAATTAAAATTAGTGTAAATATATATATAAAAAGATAAGTCATACTTATACTGCGTTCCGATGAGGGGTTCCCAACCCTTCTCCCCCTACTCCGCACACACGCTTTTTAAACTAATAAAGTGTGTATTTTTTCAAAATGTTTCTATATAAAAGTTGCTTAAAAAATCATATTGATCTATTTTTTTAAAAAAAATAGCTACTACTTAATTAATCACGTGCTAATGGATCCTTCCGTTTTTCGTGCAGAAGAGATGGGTTCCTAATCCCATGCATCGGACGCAGCCTTAAAGTATTTCTGATAATAAAGCAAGTCGCAAACAAAATAAATACTCCCTCCATCCCAAAATATAAGCATTTTTAGAGCCTGACATGGTCTCCAAGATGTTACTTTGACCAACAATATCTATTAAAGTAAGATGTTTTAAATAAAAAGAGTTGCAAATGATAGTGTGTTTAATGATAAATCTAGTAACATCAATTTTATATGATTGATCTTTTTTTCTATTAATAGTCAGAGTCAAAAATGTTTGACTTGTCACTGTGCTAAAAATGCTTATATTTTGGGACATAGGGAGTAATAATTCTATAACTTTTTGAATAAGACAAATGATCAAATGTTATAAAAAAAACTTAAAGCGACAAGTATTTTGGGACGGAGGTAGTAGTACTCTTAACTTAAAGATCAAGAAATAATTATTATTATCTCTTAATTTAGGTTATCCTCTTAAATATAATATATGCATCAAATAGAATTAAAGATCTTAACGATGAAATATTTATAATAATAATAATTAGTGAAGAAGACGTGCTAATTAATTGTATACATATATACATACACATATTATATTACGGACATTAAAAAAAGTTGTAATTTATATTATGGAATTGATAGAGTAAGAATAGTGCAACAATGACTGCTAGCTATAAAAAATGACAGCATCTCCGATCAATCTAGTAGTTAGTTGTAATAATAACATCATTAATAACTAGGACAGCGTAACCCGTCGACCGCCTCCTTCAGCTTATAGTGGCAGTTGGAGCTCGAGGCCATGCAAAAGCAGCTGGTCGTCGCGGCCAGTCCACCATCGATGAGCCCCTCCGCCATCGCTAGTCGTCTTTGTTGAGCAAGGGTAAATTGGTATTTCTTCGTCTCAACTCGTGGTTAAAACACTTGACCTTAATGACGTTTGTAACGGAAGTTTTATGTTATTTTTGGTACCCATCTATTTTCTATGCTAAAGATCAAAATTATCGCATTGTCATCTGTCAAAAGAATCAGTTGCCTGATAAATTAGACCACCTCTTCTAAGCCTAAAACAATATTTAAAGAAAAAGTCACGACTATTAACAAAAAAAGTACACGCCCATAAAGGCAGACCTAATTTACCAGCTCTACGCACGTACGAGAAAAACATCAACTGCCCATACGGAGAGCCCTCCGTGCCGACGGGGCTTTTAACTATTTGCCAGTCTTATAAGTGGCCCACATTTATAGACATATGAGAGTCCACATGTTATAAACACGGTATGGCAAATCGTTAATTGCCATGTCGTAAATAGTTAAATTTCCCTGTGCCGACTGCCCGATAGAACCGGTGGAATTAATCGCATATTGTCTGCGTGTCGCGGTCGACTCGTTGAGGCGTACTACTACGCGTTGACGAGTGGTTCAGTGCAACTGCATGCGTTCCACGGAACAGCGCTGCTAGCTAGATGCATGTTGCCAATTGCCATGCGTTACCGTGCACACAGATACGTACAACCGAAGGGTATTTCCGCGAAAACGTACGCCAGTGGCAGGAGAGGAGGGAGAAAAACGCACAAAAACGTTTCCCGGTCGTCGTCACAGCAAACAAAGCAGCCGGGGTGAGAAAAATCGGCGTGGCGCGCGAGCGACGAGCCGATCGTTCACGTACGTTGGGATCTCCGCCAGGCAGGGCAGCCAGGCAGCCGCCGCCGCGGACCGACCCCGCGCGCACCACGAATATGCGTTCTCATATGCGCTGATCTCTCCCGGAACGGACGCGCGGAGCGCACGTCGCGTCGTCGCGCGCGGGCGCGCGGCACAATTACCTCGAGATCTCGCGCGATCGATCGGTTAACCGGCTCTTGTCCCGATCGGTGCACCGGATTTATTCACAGCACTGCCGTACTACTCCGTAAAAAAAAAAAACCTCCTAACAATAAACCTGGACATACATACATCTAGATTCGTAGATAGGATTGATATTTTTTTGGATGTGGTACGTAGTTACACGTATTTTGGCCGTGCCCCAATTTCAAAATATAAGTTTTTTTAAATAGTAGAGGTTAATGTTAAGAAGAAAAAAATTCGATGTTTCTTATTAGAAAATTAAACAATATTTAAGTATTAGAAATCTTTATATATTAAAACGGAAGGATTATTATACTTGTACAAAATAATAGATTAACACACGTATACTTCCCTGAGTTCTTAGGCAGTTCGATTTTTATAAACTTATTATTTATGGATGAATTTTGGGAATATTGTTTTATTTTTTACCTTTATAATATTTGATTTATCTATTAATTTGTACTCACAAATAATTTTATAAAAATCATTCAGCCACCGACGATCTGTAATCCTACGAAACGAAGCTAGCAGCTAGCCTAGCACAAAGGAATCTTTGCTATGCGTTGTGAACTTCTATGGAATATATCGGTATCGGGTGCACTTTATAAAACACCCGATAGTTACTCTTCTATTCTTAACACACGCACGGCTCATGCTAGCTAATTTTGGCTCCATAATGTTTGTTACCACTACCAAACTCCTCCAGGTCGTTTCTTCCGGACAACGGTGACGTCTAAATTAACCTCATGCTTTGGGTCAATTTGACAATCTGAGCTTTCTTCAGCAACGAGAGTTGTATGGACCGAAAGGAGGTAGAAAATGGCTCGCGAAGAAAATTCCCATGAAACGTTTCGGAGGAGAAAAACAAGGCTGGAAACGCCGTCCTTTGCGTGGACGCCAACGATGGAAAAAAAAAGAATAAAAAAGACCTGTAACTAGCTCGTATATATACTTACCTGAGAGTGATTAATTACTGAGCGAGCCGGAGAAATCAAAGTCTTGTCTTGTCTTGTTGCTATTACAAGGCTGAATTGGTTAATCTGTATGGTCCGTTCTCTTACATCGGGTGCATACAAGTGTGAAGAAGATTAAAGAAATGGCATTTTTTATGTACATATCGAGATGTTGATCAAGGAGTGTACACGTGGTCAGTCATGTGTTCTCTGCTCTGCCTGATGCTCAACTGGTCGGTCCATCACGATCTTGCTCTGACTCTACTCGCCTTGAATGGGTGCGGGCCATCTTAAAAGCAAAAGAAAACAGAGTAGAACACATTCCTGGATTCAGATCCTGCTTCCTAATCCTTGGCCCATTTGCTGTAAGGCTGTGTTTAGTTCAGCGCAAAGTTTAGATTTTAGTTGAAATTAAAGATGATGTGACTGAAAAGTTATGTGTGTATGACAGATTGATGTGATGAAAAAGGACTGAAGTTTAGATTCAAACTTTGGATCTAAACACAGTCTAATTTGCAATTGCAGGCGCATAGGGAGATGTCAGCATGTCACATGTACTTCAGTATATGTCGATGGCACATGCATACGGGTCTCCATATGCGTGCATTGTATAGTGTTGTACACGTCCTATGATGGACAAGTGTTGATAGACCGACGCACCGTATTTAAGCTTGTTTGCATACCAAGCTACCAATCTTGAATGACTTTGACACATGAATGAACGCAGCGCTACGCTGGACTCTAGGTACGTGCACCATAAAGGCTGGCCATGTTACTCGCAGAGACGCGGTGTTGTAACAGCAGTTGAACCGTGTGTGTCGCCGGCCGCAGTACACAACGCATTGAACTACACAGTACAGTACTCGCCTCGCCTGCACTGCAGCTGCAGGCTCTCTCTGATGATGAACGACGAACGCTAGCCTACGCCCCGGCCCCTGCTGCAAACGGCAGAGCTGTGTACTCATGCATGGATGGATGGGCAGGTGGTGCGCTGCATGCGGGCGGCTGCTGGTGCGCGCAAGCCACTTGGCAAGCCGCACACGACGAGCGGTTCGACGCATGCTGCATGCAGATGCAGTGGTGGACTGGTGGCTGGCGCGGTGTGGGTGGTTTTGCCGTTTGCGGACCGTATGATTGCCGTAGTAGCTCGCGCGCACCTGCATACCACTTGCGGCGCATCTTGGGCAACTCACCGCCCCATGGCAACGGACAGGTTGGCCCGGGGTTCCGCAAGGCTGGCGCGCCATATATTTTTTGTACTACGATATTGTAGTACCACTCTCCTTTTCATCAGGTTTGTTAATCTACGGATGATTAAAAGACAACTACATTTCAAGATAAAATATGCTTGGAGTTGAGATTGCCAGATGATATTACCCGTAAAGAAACACCATAGATGTGGCTGCACTTTCAAATTGTTGTTCTTAATACAGAACGTACATATGTCCAAAATATTTTTTTATAAAGGAAGCCTGGGAGCAACAAAAGATTGGGCTAAAGATTAATATATATATATATATATATATATATATATATATATATATATATAAAGGATTTTATGTTGTCCATATTTTATAAGAGATTTTATTTACCTATAAAAATCTAATTATCTTATAACTCATTAAGAAATATTTAAGCATGATCTTTGGGAAACGAGTACCTAATCAGGAGAATACTGTAGAATCTTTTCAAATGCTCGTTGGAAGACTACACTCTCTGGCTCTAAAACCGAACTATTTTCTTGCATCTCAAAAGAACTCCTAGGTTGATGTTCTTTGGAATACAGGAATTTTCACAAGGTTCTCAATTTCTCATAGGATTTTGATTGGGGTGATCCCCCTAAAACAGTAATTTTTCGTTGAAATTTCACCATTCCAAAGGTGACATTAACCTTCGTTAGATATTGTCGCTACCTTTACCTTACATGATGTCTGACTTGGCCTGATCTGAGCACCCCTCGCCTAATGCATGTCATAAACAAAAACACACAAAAAAATCAGTATGAAATTCGTGCTGATTAAAAAATGTCTGCTTTTCCAACCCTGGATCCTTGATCCGAGACTCCGACCACGGCATTTTTTAGGTCCCCAACCACGCAAATGATGTGATTTTGACCATGACGCACCTGCAAGGGAAGGCAACACAGGCCACGGCGCCTGCATGATACGGCAGGAGTCTCACACCAAGTCACCAACTTAATTTAGACCAGCCACGCCTTCGTATTACCTGCATCTTCCAATCTTTCCTGCCATCTCTCCACGCTCTCGGCGATGCTCATCACGAAAACGTGATCACGAAAAAAAGCACACAAAGAAATCAGTAGCAGCCGATACGTACGGCACTTGATGTTAAAAGCACCTAACTGTATTGTACCATCCGTACCCAAGAGATTGTTTGATATGGTAGTATACTCCAAAGTTTTTTTTTTTTAAAAAAAATCAAACTGAGCCAAACTTACAAGCAAAATCTCATCGCGGTGACCAGGCGACAGGCAGGCAGATACAGGTTGCCATGGTCCGACCTTTGCCACCCTGGCCATTGAGCAGTAGATAAAAAATAATACAGCAAAGCATAGCAAGATTGAAACAAGATAATGATTCTACTATTACGAGTAGTTGATATATAATGTAACAATATGACTGCATTATATTACGCCACTGCTTATGTGGTGTGGCGTCTTGTGGCGCCGCAAGAACAGGTACATTTCATTTTCCATACTCGGGAGGACTTGGGGCCCAGTGTAGTTATGGTGAAGGAAAAAAATATGCTCCCACATGATGTAGGTCAGTACAACTGTGAAAAAAAATAGTTACTCCTATATGAAGGATCACTGGGTTCATTTCAGCTTTGAACCTGCCCGGTGGTGATAATAGATTGGTCAAGAGCTGGCTTCAAAAAAAGGATGCAGCAGTCATCTTAGAACTGAGGTTGTCAAACTTGGGGGGCAGTAAAAAAATTGTCAACCTTCAGCACAAGGGTTACACAGATCGCAGCCCAGGAACATTGTTAAGGCCCATTTTTCGAAGAATGAGTTTGGGTATGGCAGGCGGAATTGCAAGACCCATGCTCTGGCTGAACTCTTCTGCGAGCCTAACAAGTCTGGATTTGTCTCGACTAATAGCCTTGTTTGAGTTGTAGTACCCTAGCCATGCCTGGTAGGCTGATTCCTTGCTCTTTGTCTCCACTCTTCCGAGTGCATCTTTGACCTATCAAATCAAGCAGAGATTAAAAGGAGAAAACGTAAAGTGCATTATATTTTGAGCAGCCATGTTGATTGCTCAACTAGAGTAAAAACCCTTGACAGAATCACATAGCCAACTTGATATCAAGTACATAATACTTACTCCTGTCTGAATGCTCGAATCAATTGTAGGTACCACAGCTTGTGATACAGACAAATCCTGAACGCTATTCAGAAAGTATGTTTCCCAGGGAGCCAACAGTAAGAGACCTAGCCCATCTTTGCCTTTCCGTCCAGTTCTACCAAGTCTATGTATATACTGTTCTCTATCAGCTGGCAGCCCAACCTGCGAGGGCAAACAAATTTCAATAAATGGAGATGAATTATTTTGGTATGAGATGTAATCATGCGACCCACCTGTATGACAAGGGTGACATCAGGATAATCAACACCACGAGCAGATACATCAGAACTCACTAATATCAGACCCTTTGATTTCCTAAATTCATCTGAGACCTTAGTTCTTGCTGATTGCGACTTTCTCGAATGGATCTCTCTTATATTCAGTTTCAGCTGGGAAAGAACTTCAGCAACAAGTTTGGTGACCATTGCAGTAGTACAGAATACAATCACCTGAAAAATTGGATGGGGCACACATGGACAAATCCCCAATATATAAGCTGGTCTGGTAAGGTAACTTGCTCAAAAAAAAGAAGAAAATTGAGATAACTTACTTTGTAGTCTGCATCTTCTGCGATATGCTTCTTCAGTACATTGTACAATATAGAGAAGTGCAGGTCAAGTGGTGCAACCATGTACATCTGACTTACCTGATGCAAGAGTAAAAACGTAAGGTCATGCGAGCAGCAAAACTTAAAATTTACCCAACAGCACATGAAAGTGACATTTATAAACCTGTGAATGTGTCTCCTCATCACCCTCTTTAACAGTATTAATGAACTTGTAACCCCTCTTCATTGCAATGTGCGAAATTTGACGAACCTAACAGTAAGCATTTAAAAAAGAAATCAAATTGCTATTATAGAAACGGGGTATAGTAACAAATAGGAGATACCTCTTCTGGAACAGTAGCAGAAAAAAGAAGTGTCTGTCGTTCTTTAGGAATGAAAGCAATAATTTTCTCAATGTCTCTTCTAAATCCCATATCCAATAGGCGGTCAGCTTCATCAAGAACAAGAACTTTCACCCCTTTAATTCGGTTGGAAAAACCAGGTGTATTCTCAAGATGATCCTTAAGCCTTCCCGGTGTAGCAACAAGAATCTGTTAATCAACTCCCAGGTATTATTATCAGTGCATAAAACTAAAGCTAGATATGAGCGCACTAAATTTGTTGGGCACAACCTGACAAGGATTAGATTGCATGCTTCGTTGTTCTTGAGGTAATTTTGTGCCGCCAATTACAACCTGCACACCCAGTGAGCGATGATACTTGAGAAGCTTCCTGGCCTCAGCAGCCACTTGGTTTGCTAGCTCCCTTGTGGGGCATATCACAAGCAAATTTATAGATGGAGAACGAGGTAATGTAGAGAGAAGTTCAATGGCTGGAAGCTGGAAACAAGAAATGAAACTCAAATTGGTTAGTCCCATGAAAGCATAAAGTAGTGCCATGAATTGACAAGTTGGGTCCAAAGGACTAGAATACCAAAAAGGCAACAGTTTTTCCTGTCCCTGTCTTTGCTTTTGCAAGAACATCTTCACCTGCAGGAAACAAACACACATATTATCTCCAGGGTTCCCAAGAGATCGGTATCATGCTGTGGAGCAATTGAGCGACACTATATATTTCATTTGGCTGACCTTGAAGGATTATTGGCAGAGTTGCCTCCTGCACCTGGGTCATCTTTTCATATCCAGCATCTTTGATTGCTTTCAATGACAACGGAGAAACAGGACATTGATCAAATCTGTAACATGCATAACGGTAACATTAAATAAGTTTGCAGGAACCTAACACGATTCATGACATTCAGAAACTACAAGTCATGGTAGACAGACTAATTTGAACAAACAGTGAGTAACACAAACTGATTTTATTATAACAGATCTAAGAAAACACCGAATAGTGGACATTGACTGGCTGACTACTAATACTACTACTACTACTACTACTACCAGGACTTAGTAAGAACATGGCGATTTTAGAGTAACAACTAACAACCAACTAAAATTTGGTGGATTAGTAAGACTAATCCCGGTCTGATAACAGCTATGATTTCATGCTATCTAACACTATGCGATGCCTATTATAATCTCAAAATCACACCAACAACAGAACATTCTATACTAAGTTTCTACAATTTGAGAAATGGAAAAAAAAATCAAAGCACATTCGTAACCTAATTTGCAGAACAAGGCCCATTAATTTACCGTGTCTCGCTGAGATGCGAGCCAACCACGCCTCCCACCTCGGCAGCGCTCATCCCCGCATCCAACTCCATAGCCTTCCCTTCCACCACCTCCTCCTCTTCGGGACCTGCTCCGTTGGTCGTGACCGCCCTGGGGATCGAGGGCCCGTCGACCCCCGAGCCCTTCGGCCCCCGCCTCCGCCGCCGCTTCCGGTGGGTCGCGTCGCTGGGGCCGCCAGACATCATCTCTCCCCGGCGAACGATCTCTATCTCGTCGGCGGCGCGGGCGGCGGCGGCGGCGGTGGCGAACGGTCGAAAGACGCGCTATGCCTCTGCGATCCCCAAAACGAGTTTACTAGTAGTAGGAAATAGACTAGGTGGGCCGTAGTGGGCCTCCAAACCATGCTTGCTGAAGGCCCATCACATCGGCCCATTAGTCCATGGCCCAACCTGGCCCAATCCCATCGCAAGAAGCAAGGATCTCATCAACGCTCAACGTCCTTTGAGAAGGAAGGTTGGAGTTTAATCTGTTCGTTTTTTTCAAGTTGGGTTTGATTCCTCTTCCTATTTGCTGTTCGAATCTTTCGTGTACAATGTTCTCGTTTGGTGAGTTCGGCGCGGAGGAACTAGTCGAATTCGAATGGTTTTCGAGAAATTCAAATTTAAAAGCGGTAAATTCAATCGAAGCACGGGTGTAATAGACACTCTGATATCATCTCTTTTCACTTGCTCAACTTGGAGTCTTGAATGATGGTAGCAAAAAAATGCTACTATCTGATAAATAATATATAAGCATGGGTTTAATAAACGATCTGATCATCTAGTGTCTCAAGTAAATCCATCTCAAAATGGATCAGAACAAGGTAAAAATAAAAATCTTCGTGTGTTGCACTATATGAGCTTCTGTAGAATCACTGTCTGTTTTTGAACCTGTATTTGTAGAGGACCAGAAAGACTCCTAGTCATGCTTGAATAGTTGAACTTAGAACTCCTGAACCTCCGAGAGAAGTGATCTGTGATCATACATAGTGTTGATCGTCCAAACTTCTGACCAATATCAACCCACCGAGCTGCAAAGCTCAAATATCTGCAGCAGTGAGGTACATCACGCCTGAAGTTTACCATAAACGCAGCAGAGAGCACAGTGATGGATCAAATGTCGATAGTGTGCTCTACGCTTTTAGCACAAAGTGCACAAGGACCTTAATTTCAGGCATCAGGGTTATGTAGATCTCAGCCCAGGAACATTGTTAAGTCCCATCTTTCGAAGAATTTGCTTGGGTATAGCTGGCGGAACTGAAAGCTCCATGCTTTGGCTGAACTCTTCTGCGAGCTTAACAAGTCTGGATTTTTCTCGGCCAATGGTCTTGTTAGAGTTGTAGTATCCTAACCATGCTTGATAGGCACACTCCTTGCTCCTCATCTCAACTTTCCGGACTGCGTCTTTGACCTATCAAATAAAGCAGAAACAAGAGTACTTGAGATTTCTTGAGCAGGCAAAAATGGACTTCCTATTGCAAAATTTGCGCTAGATCTGACCTATGTTGCATGGCGAAATAGATGAGAGGATTATGAACTTACTATTGTCTGAGTGCTTGAATCAACAGAAGGTACCGTAGCCTCTGATATTGACAAATCCTTAATGCTACTAAGAAAGTACTTCTCCCATGGAGCCAACAGTAATAGGCCTTGCCCTTCCTTTCCCTTCCGTCCAGTTCTACCAAGTCTATGTATATATTGCTGTCTATCAGCTGGCACCCCAACCTGCAAGAGCAAATATTCAAGGAGAAAAAACTTTATCAGAACACAACAAACTGCAAGCATATTTGCATTGCCATATTTTGGTCAACAGAAATAGTTTTCCAAACATTCATAAAGAAAAGAAAAATAAATAACAACAATATAGCAATATCAGTTTACAAGAAGAATTTTGTGAGGGGAAATAATAACAGGTACCTGTATGACAAGGGTGACATCAGGATAATCCACGCCGCGGGCAGATACATCAGAACTAACCAATATCAGACCCCTTGACTTCCTGAATTCATCTGAGACCTTAGTTCTGGCAGATTGTGACTTTCTGGAATGAATCTCTCTTATATTCAGTCTCAGTTGGGAAAGAATTTCAGCGACAAGTTTGGTAACCATCGCAGTAGTGCAGAATATAATCACCTGTAAAATTGAACAACAATGACACATCCATAATCCACAAGATATAGGTTCACAGTTTGGATATGAAACTTACTTTGTAGTCTGCATCCTCTGCAACATGCTTCTTCAATACATCATATAAGATAGAGAAGTGCAGATCTAGTGGCGCGATCATGAACATCTGACTCACCTGATATAGAAGCAGCGCAATGTTCTAATGAGCTCCAAAACTTTAGCATTTAGCATAAAAGCTCAAGAAAAAATGACAGGTCTAAACCTGTGCATGTGTCTCCTCATCACCATCCTTAACAGTGTTAATGAACTTATAATTCTTCTTCATTGCAATATGAGAAATTTGGCGGACCTAAATATAAACGTTCAAAAGATAGTTTGTTAGAGGTTTAACTTTATATAAAGAGAGCTTAATAATACAAAGAGTTTACCTCCTCTGGCACAGTAGCAGAAAATAGCAATGTCTGTCGCTCTTTAGGAACGGAAGCAATTATTCTCTCAATGTCTCTTCTGAATCCCATATCCAGCAGGCGATCAGCTTCATCAAGAACAAGAACCTTCACACCTTTTAGTCGGGTAGAAAAACCAGGTGTGTTCTCAACATGGTCTTTAAGCCTTCCAGGTGTAGCAACAAGAATCTGTTTGATCAGTGCACAGTGTTAGTATACATAACTTGCACTAAGAATCCAAGATATGACCTGTCTGTAGTTCATGGGTACAACCTGGCATGGGTTAGCTTGCATGCTTCGTTGCTCTTGGGTTAATCGTGTGCCACCGATTACAACTTGCACCCCCAGCGAGCGGTGATACTTGAGAAGTTTCTTGGCCTCAACAGCCACTTGGATTGCAAGCTCCCTAGTAGGGCACATCACCAGCAAATTTATAGATGGACGTAGTTGATCCCTCCGAGAATTAGGTAATGCGGAGAGAACTTCAATGGCTGGAAGCTAAAACAAGATACTCTAACTCATTAGTCAATACGTTAATAGGTGATAGCGACTAATGCCATAATTTGATTGGGATTTAGGATAAGTACCAAAAAGGCAACAGTTTTCCCAGTTCCTGTCTTTGCTTTTGCAAGAACATCTTTACCTAAAATGGAACAAAATGTTGCAGATTCAGTTTCAGGACTCCCACCAAAAAATACTGGTATCATTCACTGGACTAGGAACAATAACATTGCCATTTCCCTGACCTTGAAGGATTACTGGCAGAGTTGCCTCCTGCACCTGGGTCATCCTTTCATACCCAGCATCTTTGACGGCTTTCAGTGACAACGGAGAAATAGTGCATTGATCAAACCTGCATATGAATAGCATTTCTAAATTACGAAAGCAGTACATTTGTAAATCCTGTTATACAAATCGGATGAGCAGTCTTCTCATATTCTAGTTAGTCGAGGATTAGCAAAATGATTGTTTACAGATGAGCATTATGCTACTTGAAGGAGGCAGTAACAGTTGGTTTACAGCAATAAATAATTATACAAACACAGCACGCTGCTAGAACTTAGTGAAAACTGATTAATTCTAGTAGAACAGACATGTTTGGCGTCTCCCTAACACAACGTTTAAAATCTTTAAGCTCTACTCATCTGGAAAATACTGGAAACAAGCACTCGCCATTTCTGTTTTGGAAACATAACCATTTCCACATATTCGAAAATACTCTTACATAAATAAAGCACTCGCCATTTCTACAGTTCCAAACCATAACCATTTCTACAGGGGAAGAGATAACTCTCAATTTGCGGCGCAAGGCAAGCGATTACCTTGTGTCGCTGAGGTACGAGCCATCCACGCCTCCCGACTCGTCACCGCTCTTCGCCGCATCGAATTCCGGAGCCTCCCCTTCCGCCACGCCCTCCTCGCGGACGCCTCTTCCCCTGCCCGTGACCACCCTCGAGAACGCGAGGCCCTCCTCCTCCTCCTCCTCCGCGTCCCTACGGCTACGACGCCGCTTCGGTACGGCCGCGCCGCCCGACCTGACACGGCGGCCGACGGCGTCGGCGACGTCGACCTTGGCGGCGGTCAGGGGAGGAGCGCCCCGGCGGCGGCGGGCAGGGACGCGGAGGCAGAGGCAGCTGGGGAAGGCCCTTGCGAGCACGGGGAGGCCGCTCTGGGTGCGGAGGAGGAGGTCGCCGGCGGCCATCTCCGGCGAGTGGGGATAGGGATGAGCGGAGGCGTAGGGTTTTGTGGCGGGTTGGCGCGCGGCGACGAGAGGATAAGATATCCTAGGGGGTTTTAAACGGCCGAATAGTAGAAAACTCTAGCTTGCAATATTCAAGAGAAAAGGTTTTATTTAGAATTTTAGTAGCAATGATTTTGTAATTTTACTTTTAAATTCCAATTAAAAATCAATTTCTGAATAATTTTATATTTTATTCCGAAATTCAGTTAGTAATCTACCTGCCACCTCTTAGTTCTTTTCTCATATGGGTGCCATATATTTCTAATTAGTATTTCTATATGGATTTTATCTGTTTATTGGTTTAATCTAAACTATTATAATTTTGATCCACCCTACAATATAATAAGCGGCATAGGTCATCTGGAGCGAATGTGGAAGCTTGTTTTTTCTATAAAAATAATACTTGCTCTGTTTTAAATTATTTATTGTTTTAGATTTATACTAAATTAAACATTTTATTATTGTTTTACCATCAATTTCTATAAACTCATATAATTTAACATCGTTATATTTATATTTTTAAATTCACTATAAGAAATACTTTCATAATATACAATTCACATGTTATCATGATAACATACACAGACTTCTAAAATTTAAAATTTATTGACTAAAGATATACATGTTTGTCTTAGAACAAAATGTAGAACCACAAATAATTTGAAACGGAATGGACTAGATTCGTGTAGTTATAACTCTTTGTTTGTTTGTTTGAGAACTGGAATTGCTACAAATATTCACCATTATAGTTTGGATCAACACGATCTAAGATAATAAATTTTTGTCTTGCTCTTTGATTAATTTTGATAAAATATAGGCGGGAAGCAATATCACGGGGTGCCACATGGCAACTTGGCGCCACATCACTGTCCTGTGAGCTTCTTGAGGCAACGAGTCTTTCCAAAGAGCTGCCTGCAACCTCCAAGGCTAGGGAAGAACTGAGGTTTAAGGTTGGACACTCAAACTCCTAGTTGGTTGTCCCCGAGTACCAATCTGGACCATATCCTGAATTGCTCGGGACAAACGACCCCGAAAAGGTGTCCCGAAAAAGGTTGCATTGAGATAAGGTGTCCCTTCCCAATAAAAGGCGATGTAATTGATACCTGCCCGTTGAGGCAACTGACACAGTAGATAAAACATGCCTTACCACCTATCATTCGAGGCCACGTATGGATTGTCATACGGCATGGGTTGTTAGGCAGAACGAATGACTTCATGTGTCTTACTTGGTCCCACCATTTTCCACATACTCTGCCTAGACGCCGACAAGTGAGGCCATGGGATGGCATTTGTGGATGACCGTCTCCTCCATTAAGCCCCTTTGCGCAAGAAAGCATCACCGAGGCACACGATAAATGCTCAAGACCTCTCTTGACTCCACCTTAAGGAGGACCTCATAATGAGCAGAGGGACGCGGAGCCTGATGAAGAATGGATGATATAACTTGTTGTACCATCCAAAATATATAAGGGCGGGAGCGAGGCTATGAGAGGAGAAGGGCGAGCTTTTCCCCACTTAAAGTTAAAACAAAGAATAACACAACACACATGAGTAGAATATTATGTTTCAGGCAGCTCAAACCCGCCAATTCCGATGTCAAAAAAGAACGTTCTAAAAAGAATCGTTTTGTGAACAACGAAACCAGCCGAAGAAACACTTTAGCACTAATGCTCTCGACAAAACACAATAAACAATCAACCACGTACCAAGTTGTGTTTATTGTGGTACTGGTTGGTACGATTCATCATTTCAATGATTCCAAGTGCTCGGCCCCAAGCAAGTCCCTACCCCAAAGTAAACAGAATCTTAAGATACACAAAATAAATCATGTAAAAAATGACCTACCTTACCTCGGTCTCCTCCAATAATTAATTTGAACCAGTAATAGCAAGACACAAAAATCTTTTATAGCTCGTCTAACTCCAAGATGCAATGTCCTTGAGCTTGTAGAAGTGCACGTACTACCGCAGGAGAGCTCGCAGGAAGTAGGATGGCCGCAACAAGTGCAGCAAATGAGCGTAGCATAGCCATCCCGGGCCCGGGTGATGATCAGCCTGCAGCACAGCCAGCCGCGCTGGCCGGCGGCGGCGACGAGGACGAGGGGGCGTGGAAGACGGCCCAGAAGTGGCTGAACCGCTTCGTCCGCGTCGTCGCTTTCGTGGAGAGGACGGGCAACGCCGTCGGCACGCTGGCCTTCACCTGGGCGACCGTCGTCGTGCTCGGTGGGTACTCCACGGACCTGCGCGAGGATTTCTGGTACGCCATGGCGATAGTCTTCCTGGAGGCTTACAGGTAAGTAGTAGCACTTCACGTACGTTCTCTCGTCATCACACTACACTCTTGGGCATGTTCAAATAGAGGACGCTTACGTATAAAAATGATGCACACCAACTAATAATTATCACATCACATATATATATATACTTCTAAAACTATAAGGAATTTTGTTTTCTTGTTTACATAAAACAATTAATGAATTTAAGTTTAAGACTTTACACATCGGTATAATAGTACATAGGTGTAATAACATGTGTACATAATATGTTTCTGAGGAACAAAATATGACTAATACACTACTTAAAAAATTTGAGGTGACAAAACATAAGCTTTATGAACCAAACGCAGTTCTTGGTCATTCATGGGTGAGTCTGACCTCTACTATGAATTTGTCCTAGTACCAAATTTGGTTGTCTACAACGCTGCTAACCGTGTCATTGGGGGACTCAGGGTGTTCAGCCGCCAAAACAAATCAGACGATAAATTCTTGTTCAAGACCACGGGAGGAATCAGAGTGCTCAAGCTGTCTTCAACCCTGGAGCTGCTGTATTTTCTGAACGCGGTGATCGTGATGCTGTGCCTCTCCGTCATCCTCACGGTCGTCCTAACCCACGTATTCCCGAAAAAACGGTACGTGCCGCTGGTGCTGGCTGCCCTGCTCGTGCTGCTAGCCAGGTTCCCCATCATCTGGCTCCTCAAACGAGCGAACAGACCAGGGTCAGGGCGCCGCGTCGTCGCGATAGTACTGCGGCTGACCCCCCTGGCCGCGATACTGGCCTTGGGCTGTTCACTGGTGCTGCTGTACGGCGCTCCGCCGGTGACGGTGCTGGCATCCGTGTTGCTGCTCTTCATGACGTTCGTTCTGTGCCAGCAGCTGATAGCCGTGCGGGAGAAGATCAAGAGACCGGCGCCCCTGCAGCGCCCGACGGCTGCAGGTGAGGCTTCGCCGCCGCCGCCGTCGTTTGCCCAGCGCGCGTGGCTGGTGCTCGCCAACACTATGTTGGTCGTCTGCCCACCCTTGATGGTTGCCTTCCTGACGGCGACGTTCGGCTTCCTGGGGCTGTACGTGGTGCTCACGGCGGTGGCGCTCGGCAACTTCCAGATCCCGGCGGCCGTCGCCCGCGTCGCCATCTCGTCGGCGCGCCTCGCCGGCAGGGTGGACCGCGTGAGCACGGGCAACGTCAACCTCGTGCCGTCGCTCAAGATCTTCTACGGGCTTGTGCTCGCCCAGGGCGCGCTCTACATCGTGGCGTGCCTGACGGATCCCTTCTCCGTCCTCCTCCGGAGATGGCTGGCGCGGCGCTGCAAGCTCGGGACAAGGTCCGTCGACCTGTACTACGAGCACGCCTACGACGCGTGGATGGAGGACGGCTTGCTCGCCATGGAGGACGCGAACATCGTCAGCTTCGCCGTCGACTCCCTTTCGGCTCCGGCGGAACCCAGCCGCAGCCGCGAGAGGGTCCTTGCTGGGGTCACCGTCCTTCACTGCTTCCTCCGGCAACGAAGAGGCTCCAAGGCCCGGCTTGCTTCATCGAAGATCATCACCTCCACAAACGCAATTGCCACCTTGATCGGCATGCTGGGATGGGGCGCCGAAGAAGACCGGCAAATCAGGCTGTTCGCGGCGAAGGTCATCGGCGAGGTCGCCGGTGAGCTCCGGATCGCCAGGTTCCCTGGCACCGTGCAGCTGATATCTTCACTCCTTGATGCTCCATCTTGCTCGAAGAAAGAACAAGACAGTGGAGGCTCAACACAGACAAAAGCAGCTGCAGGCAACGTTAATACTGACTCGACCTGCTGCTGTTGCTTCCCCAAGCCCAGTTGCCCGCGACGAATCAAGAATCTATGGTCAGCTCCAGACGAGGAGCCTCTCGACGACGACGAAGACGCGCTCCCGATAATGGGGATGCTGATCCTCGAGAAGCTTGCTTCCGATCCCGAAAACTGCGCAGAAATCTGGAGGGCAACTAACCTCGTCTCGAAGGTGATAGGGTTCATAGCCTGCTCCAGCAACGAGGCACAGCGGAATCGACGACCCATCACCGCCTCGTCACTGAAGCTAGTCGCAAAGCTCGCCGGCGCCAAGGGGGAGATCGGCGTCACGCTCCGGCGGAAGATATCGGACCATCCTTTCCTAGTGAGCAGCCTCGCCGGGATCTTGGAGGACGACGGCGCCGGCACGGAGGAATGGTCGCCGGCGATGGATATCCTCGCCAAGCTCTGTGTCAACGCCGATACGAGGCAGGAGGTCGGGGAAATCGCGGCGATCATTACCAGATTGGTGCAAGAATTCTTCCCCTCGCAGCGAGACCAACAAGCGAGCAGTACACAAGATGATCGCCAGCTGCGGTTGGCGGCAGGTGAAGCATTGGCGACGCTGGCAACGGAGAGCCCCGGCAACTGCTCGGCCATCCTCAAGGAATTCAAGGGAAAATATTGCGATCTTGTAAACGATCTCAAAAACATGATTTCGGCTAGGGACGAGGATGGCTGCCGATGTGCGGCAAGCCTGCTGCAGAATCTGTGCGCGCACTCCGGAGACGAGCTGCGCCATCTTGGTTTCAGCGACCATCTTGCATCCGCCTTGAAAGTGGTGAGTCTTCTCCTGGATTTGATCTTACTCAATTGTAGCATTTTCTCTATTTGTTTCTCTCTTTTTTTTCAAGTTAACATAGCATCAAATACACGTACAAATATAACGCACATCATACTCACACACCCACGAATATTTCCCAAGTCCCAAAACAACACACGCTTTAAGTGTACAGCGTGTGCATAATATGATCCATACATCGCCGTAGAGACGATAATTATGATTTATAGAGCTAATGTGAACCACACGCAGATTTTGGAGAAAATACTGAATACCAAGGGAAAGCAGCTAGAGGTCCTGATTGGGCTCACAGCGCAGATTCACAACGCCATGCCTGCCTGCTTTAAAGATGCACTGGAATCCTTAGCCAATAATACAGCGGAGGCACTCGTTCAGAAGATGGTGGATACACTCAACTCCAGCAAGAAGCCGAGCCCTGAATGCCCCAGGATGAGAAGAGCAATAGTCGAGCTAGCGATTTCCATAGTAGAAACGCGCACTCTTCCGTATGGCTATGCAGCCGACTTCAGGAAGAAGGGGATGGTGGAGGCGCTTTCCAAGGTAAAGAGGACGCCGTCAAAGGTGGAGAGATACAGGCTCTTCTTCGGCGATGCAGGGGTGGTTTTGTAGCGTGGATTGCCTCTGCCTGATATAGTGGCCACGACAAAAGGGCTAATCGAAACTGCATCTCCATCTCCAGGAGTTTAACGTAACCCCCATGCTCTTTTGTGGTTGTACAGAACTTCGGTGCGGCACTTTTGTTCTGTTCTTTTTCTCTGTCTTTGTTCAGGAGTGTGCATGTTCGCTAAGTGCTTTAAGCCCATAAGGATATTTGTTTATTGGATGTGATCCGAATATAATTATGGAAAATCTTAGACAAATGAGACAAGATATATTATGATGTCATATACAAACATGAACAAGATCAAACAAGATCAAAGATGTCTGCATATTAGGGGGAAAAAAGAAAGCATTGGGCTAAACAACGCAGTCACATTTGGATTTGCCATTTTTGTTTCTCCATGTATAGACAGAATTTATCTTGCATGTTTCTATATTTTATTTGTGGCAGATGGAACTAAAACTATCATACTTGCTGATTTTTGCCCCCCTTACAGGTGTTGGAACAGCTAAAATATCGACACCTATAGTGTTTTCCCAACCAAACGCGCGCCACAGGGGGCGCCAATGGCAAGAAAAACGCAGTCACAAATAGGTGCCGGTTTTTAATTGGAACGGACACATATATTTAATGTCAAATAGAAGTGTCTGTTCCAATTAAAAACCGTATGTCTCATCAGGGTTGTTGGTTGCGGGGCCCACATTAGAACCGGTGAAGCATCTAGGCCCCCGTCATTGATTTCGGTAATTAATGACAAGCGTTAATTGTAGCCGAACTATTTTCTTGAGCTATACATTTTGAGTTAGGACCACATGATGTGTATGAATGGATGATCACCGAGGACTAAATTCGATGGCGCAAAGCAAAAGGAGCGAAGACGGTAAAACTAGAGGTTTTATTTTAATTAATCGAGGAGTTGGACGATCAAAATTTGCTAGATTTATTTATACCTTTGTCTTACAATCAAGAGGGATAATGACCTAAACAAAGAGATGATCAAAATGCCACATTAGGTCATTTGCATTTAGACTTGGTTCTCTGTTTAAATTGTTCTGCTTCTCTATCCAGAGCCGGTCAGACCGTGGGCCTTATGCTGGTCTGACCGACGAGTGTTGGCTAGTCTGACCATGGAGACCTTGTCGGTCTGACCGGCCGACCCTGTGCTGGTTGGTCGGCCTCTAGGTGAAAAACCCGAGCCGCAATCGGTTAGATCGAGCCGATGGCGGTTTGACCGAGCCATGGCCGATCTGACCGGCCGCACTACTGCGGTCTGACCGGCCCCCATGTGTCAATACATTTAATGCACTGCAACGGTAACTAGCCGTTGAAAAGTCGGTCTGACCAGCCACCCTTCGGCGGTCTGACCGACAATGCACTGAGTTGGGGAATTTCGACCCCAACGGCTAGTTTTTGTGGGTTGGGGTATAAATACCCCCACCCCCTCCCCGCCACTAGCAGCAAGGGGACTCTCTTGACACTTGCTTCACTTGCATACATCCCTTGCACACACTCTAGTGCTTGTGTTCATCCATTTGGTGTGATTAAGGGATGATTAGCCAAGAGTCAAGCGCATTTGCTTCATTGTAGAGCTAGTGTGGCACTTGATCATCTCCGAGTCGGGTCATCGCTTGTTACTCATGAAGGTTGCCACCTCCTAGACGGCTTGTGGAGGTGTTGCCCGAGGACCTCTCCAAGGAGATCGTGGAGAAGGCCCGACGCCGATTGTGAGTGGTTTGAAGTTCACCACCTTTGGAGTGAATGAAGAACTACTCCTAGTGATCGAGGCTTGGGTAGTCCACTTCGTGGGCTAGCTCCCATCTTGCCCACCCCTTGATGAAGGGGGCTTGCGGTGGCTTCGTGGTTTTGAGCGGTGAAGTTGGGCTCGTCTCAACGGGGAGTAGGAAACCGATCCGAACCTCGGGTGAAAAAAAAACTCCTTGTCTATTGTCTCATTTACTTATTGCATTTACATTTGTGCAATTTACTTTCATAGAGACATATTTGAGCCTATATCACTCTAGGTTTGCAAAACATAATTTAGTTGTTTAGTTAACTTCGTCCCTCACCAAGCCTAGCAACTTAGGTTAGTTTTGATTAGGTGTCATTTAGTTTTAAATCACCTATTCCCCCCTCCCCCTCTAGTGACATCTCGATCCTACACGTGTCTCCTTTTTTTTTTGTCCTTCCCTTTTCTCCGTCCGCAAGCCCCTTTTTTCACCCTCTCTTTTCCTTTCCTTTTCTCCGTCCACACGCCCCTTTTTTCACCCTATCTTTTTATTCAACTCCTCTCTCGCCTCCTCTCCCGTCTCCTCAAATCCTAAGCGGTGGTGGCGATGCTCCCCTCCCCAAGATGGCGATAGTTGTGCAGCGACGGCGGTTTGTCCTCCTCCCCAACATGGAACCAATGACAGTTCTCTCTGGCATGGCGGTGGTTTGATTTGTGAATATTTTGTGGGGATTTTTGTGATTTGGGATGTTGATTTAGTAACCACCACAAGGCAGTGGTTTGATTTGGGATGTTGATTTTGTGGGGATTCTTGATTTCGATTTGTGATTGCATTTGGATGATTTGGTGATTCATGTATTTTGTGAATTGGGGGCAATAGGATTGGGAGCAATCAGCATTAGCCGACTCATTGAGCCGACTTTTTTAAAAAATTTCCGCCCCCTAATAGGTGTCGGTTGTCAATTCGTTACCGATGAGCTTCCATCGTCAGCATCAACCTCTCTGGGGCCGTTTGAAAAATCTAGCACCTATGGGGGTTTCCCAACCTACACCAATAATGTTTTCTGTAGTAGTGATCTCCTCTTGTATTCTATCGTGTCAAACCGAATCTAAGGCTTCAATTAAATATCATTACTAACATCGCTGAAATACCACAGTAAACATGACCTGGCTAGCTAATAATAAGTCGGACAAGCTCTGAGAACCGAACGAAGTAACACTGAGGGGTTTGGTTGGTGACTAACTTTGCCACAACTAACCTTAGGTAAATTGTGGCATGGCACAAAAATGTGGCCATAAATGAGTAGGCCACAAGTGTGGCATGGTTTGAAAAAAAAAAGAGTGAATGACTGATGGGCCCAAAGTATAACAAAGTATGGCAAGCCTAAGTTGTGGTGGCGAAATAAACACCTACCTAACAATTGTGGCATGACTAAGATGTGGCTTAGCAAAGCGAAGTAGTGAACCAAAAGTACCGCAGTTCACACGAGCAACTGCGCCAGCGAACGGATCCATTGCGGCATTGCACAGACACCAAATCCCAAAGCAAGTAGACAGGCTCAAGGTCAATGAACAAACAAATATATAAACGCCCAATAGTTAAGGTTGCACCGTGATTGATGCCAGCACTCCAGATTAAGATGATAAAATGAACAAGAGAAATAGAACAGAAGAAATCAACTTCGCTCACTAGACGAGGCAGCATCTACGGCCATCTTAGCATGGAGAAATTTTACAACGATGCATGTTATATTGTCGGTGCTTCCACGGGCAAAAGCAATCTCTGCCAGCTTCCGGGCTGCGGCCTCAGGGCCCTCCTCCGCCTTTACAAATGCAACGGCATGCTGGAACAACCAAATTCATTATATCAGAACAAACTTGGGAATGAACAGGGAACAGCCCTTGGTTGCAATTATTCCTAGTTTAGGTAGAAGCAGAAAGAATGTTGATGAAAACACCAGTATACGCAACATTAGATATCAGTTATACAAGAAAGCAAACACATCAATCAACAGAGGATATGGAGGTTTTCAATCATAAAATGACCTGCATTGTCAAACTTATTGCTAGCTTACAAAGCAAATTTTCTCTAAATCTTTTCCATGCGAGCTTCCTAACTGGTTTCAGGAAATATCGGTAGAAAGGGTCCAATATGAATGGTTACTGTTTGGCAATAACTACAAACATGATTAAATCAACACTTTATATCCAGCAAAGCGATCCTTCTTTTAGCTATTGTTAACTGAACCAAAACAATAGTTACACCAGATATGCACTGCTTCAAAGAAGTGCATAAAACAGTGGTACAGACTCATAAAACAGTGCCACCCATTCATCTATTTTATATAATAGTATACGAAAGATAGAGCAGTGTGGATTTTACTTGCGTATATATACAGATGCTCATGAAGGGGAAAAACATATAATGTATCCAATTTGGCATAGGGCATGCTAACCTCATTGGACACCACATCCCACAGCCCATCACTAGCCAAAATCAGAAACTCCAAATCATCATCTATTTCTTGTTCCTGACAGAATTTTGCAGGTCATTATGTACTGTTTTAGTCCATGAGAAGTACATATATGAAATAAAATACCAGGTTCCATAGTAATATCATACTGTTCTATCTTTAACACGAACAGAACAGGAAGATCATAAACATTACAAGATTAGAATATCACCTGGACCTCAGGCTCAGCAACAACGAATCGCTTCAAGAAACGATTACCAAAAGCCCGAGACATTGCTAGTACACCACCAACCCTCCATGTCCCTGCAAAAAACCCATTTCTATTATCGGCTAAAACATCTTTCAGAAAATCATTTGCCATGCGCGTGTGATTGAATGTGGATAGGCAGAAAAAGCAAAAACTTCCACCCAGAGGCATAATACTTACCAGACCATGTCACAACCCCTCCAGCATTCTCAATCCGTTTCCGCTCATCTTTTCTATTTGGTTTGTGATCACTAGAGAGTGCAATAGCTGCAAAGAATAGATAAAAAAATGAGTAATTAAAAAAAAAGAGATTAAAAATGCTTTAACAGCATATCATAGGATGCATCTTGAAAGAAGGAAATCAGGAAAAAATGACATTAACAATTTAAAGGCATCCACCAAATTCTTTCAATAAATGAAAAGGCAAAGAAATGATGGCAAAAAAATATTTATTCAATTGCAGCTTCCTCAAGAAAGTATACTTGTACATCATTCACATACAGTTTCCAAAGATAACCGCCTATGTAAATCATAAACAAAAGGATTCTCTGTCATCACTTGCATTACACAAATCCACTTACGACATACATAATTCAACTCAGTATTGTCCAATAATAACCCCATTGTCATAAAGAAAGTACCATTTTCGAATAAAAGGATTTGAAACAAACAAGCATGATGATTTATTTTCCATCGAAACAAGGTTGACACCTACTTTGCTGTATTTATTTTCTGTATTCCTACTTCATCTGAAAAACAAAGTATTTCAATCATGTCACCATATTGATAAGTAATATATTCCACTATTCCAGACATGTTTTCTCTACCATCTTTGCCATCCCTCTTACAATGAAACCCTTTCCAATTAAAAAAAACAACAGGAATAATGGATTCATTGCAATTGTTAACATGTCCAACGCATGCCCATCACCATTAACTAGCACCAAGAACACATAGTCCTGAATTATGATATAATCCATGGTGAAAACTCCAATGCTGCTTTCACAAATGAGACATGCCCCTCAATGCTATTCAAGTATTAAGCATTATTATTAAGAAACAAATCTTGAGAAAAAAAAAAGCTTGCACTTGCACCTTTGCCAGCCTTTGACATCACAGTTCGTGAGTCACCAACATTTGCCACATAGATATGGTTACCAACGAAAATTGCTGTTGATGCAGTTGACCCATCCTCTCTATTAATATTAGTCTCAGCATCCAAGAAATCAGAGTCAGTTTTTCTGTAGGTCTCACCTGGGAAATACCATTTAGTTAGATCTGTTGATTAGCTACTAGAAGCACAAAATGATCTTGAAATAACGTTATCTGAACTAACATCATACTTATTGCTGATTTTGTATCAGTGATGAATGACGGATGTTTCAGAAGATTTTCAAATAAGTGCTTCTTTAAATGCTCAGCAGCATGTGAACCACCATGACCTATAATGATAAAGAATTTTAGTTTGAATGAATACATATATATTATGGTGTTTGAAAGGTAAATCTCTAACCATCAAATATTCCAAAGAGGTTTATTTGGTTATCATCAACTTTTGATGATTTTATGTCATAGAAGTCTTCCATGTTTGCTCTTCTCCCTCTAAAGCTTGAGTATCCACAACTCATTCTTCCATCATCACTGTAACCACAGATACTCACAGAGAGAAGAATTCAGAAAGTTAATAGACAAATAAATTGACTTATGCTGCCATGCACGCTCAAGTTTAAACAATCCATGTGATCAGGTGACAGGTGATAAGATCATCTCCAATTGATGCATAATTTTGCATGTGCTTGAGGTGCCACTGCCACTGTACCACATTGCTAGCATCTGTATCTAAATGCAATGTCATAAATGTGTTAGCTGTAAACACAAGTTTGGGTTCAGATAGACAGCTGCGTTAAGGTTAGCCAATCCAGTTATCTTAACCATAAACCAAGCGCAGTCAATCTTCAGAAGCTGCAAAACCTTAAGCAGACTGCGGCTAGAGAAGCCTTTTAAATAGCATAAACACTAAGTATTGAGATGCTAAAAGGCTAATGCCCACAGCTTCACTCAGAAGTGATAAACCCAGCACAAGCGCATAACCTAATGCTTATTTGTTCCACATGCGTGACGAAATCCCTAGGCATCAAAAAATCGTTTTATGTATTACTGCACATAAAACGCATAAATAAGTGGCAGGTAATGGGCCACTCATGATATATTTGTAGGTCCTAATATGTATGATGATTTATCATTCACGCTATGCGCGATGATTTTTGGGCCAGTGATAACTTCCATTCCACATTCCACAGACATGACTTCAATTAGTGACTTTTTAAAGCTTTTCATAATCTGATTTTTAAGCATTTGTGTTTTTCTTCTGATGTTATTCAGATAATAATATTATTGCAGAAATATAGGTCTTGATTCTCACTACTTAACGGTAACTCAAGCAGTTAATGGAACTAGTACATGGTATGTATCTTACAAACAAGCATCTAAGACTAACATCCCCATGTGGTATTAGACCTATTGGTGTACTAAGAATTACTCCCTCCATTTTTTTATATTTGATGCTCTTGACTTTTGAACATAAGTTTGACCATTCGTTTTATTCAAAAAAAATGTAATTATTTTGTTGTGATTTGTTTATCATTACAAGTACTCTAAGCATGACTCATATTTTTGCATAGTTGCGTAATTTTATTGAATAAGACGAATGGCCAAATGAATGCCTAAAAGTCAACACGGCAAACATTTATAAAAAATGGAGGGAGTATATATGCACGTGATCATGAACAATTATATCCTTTGGCCATTTTTTTCATTATAGGAATCAGTAAGTTTGTAGCTTTAAATTCAATGCAAGAGTTAGGAACTACATAGAAGAGTTATGATCTCATTGTGCTCAAGTTTCTCCAGCTTATAACCAAAGTGATAAGGATCAAAAGCTACGGGTTTCCCTGGTGAATGTATTACTTTAACCGTACCAACATGCCTGGATGCAACTGCATATATTATCAACAATCGAAGGAAGCCGTGCAAATGATAGGTCAGTTCCAATCAACAAACGGAAAAGCATCAGACCTAATTGTAAGTTGCTACTCCTACCCAACACCAATGAATACAAACAAATTACATGAATCTAGACGATTCCAATTTTGAAAAAATTAGACGTAAGTGTAAAAGTTTAACTTGCTACCACGCTAACGCAGACCCAAAATTATTTTAAACTAAAACGAACAGTAGGATAAACCACCCGGTAAGCTAGAGAACAGAACGCCGTGAAATGACAGGTTACCTCGTCCATCCGCCGCAAATGTACCTAGCCTCGTCATCCTCGTCGCTCCCCTTCGGAGGCCCCGTCGCCGTCGCCTCCGCCACGGTGGTCGCCTCCCCGACCTCCCTAGCGCCGGCCGCCACCGCCGCCTTGCCCCCCGCGCGGAACCTCCGGTGCTTCAGCGGGTGCCGCACGCCGAGCCTCTTGTCCCTGCCCGGCCTCGGAGGCCGCGCCGCCCTCGCTATCGCCGCCGCCGCAGCCGCCGCCTCTGCCTCCGCAGCAGGTGGGCACAGCGAGCTCGACCCCGCCTGATCCTCCTCCACGCCGCCACCGCCGTGCGCCGCCATCAGGATTCGCCCCCCCCCCCCCCCAACCCCGAGACCTAGCAGAAGAAGCAACAGAGAGAATCAAAACCTTCGCTCGTAACACATTCAAAAACACGCCACATCTCGGCGTGGGCACTGGGCAATGCGGGCGCGTACGGACCTTCGGGGGATCGGATCGGGGTGGGGCGGGAGACGAGGCGAGGCGGGCGGATCGGGAAGGGGAGAGGATCTAGAAGGTTCTAGATTCGCGCGTACAGGTGGGAGAGCTCATCTCTGAGCTGGACGCGGGGGAGGGAGGGATGGGAGCGAGACGAAGCGATTGCAAGCGAAGGGAGGAGACGAGACGAGGCTATAAAAGGGAGAAATAGCTTCTTTTTTTTTTCTTCGATTCAAGTTTCCTCATATTTGCCCCTTTTCTTTTCCTGGTGGGCTGGCCCAGGAAGATTTTGGTCACTGGATAGTGGGACCAGGTTATGTGGGCCCATTTGTCAGTGATGCGGGTGTTGGTGGGGGGACAATTCGAGTGCCGGGCGCCGCGGGGGTTTGACGGTTTGACCTGGTAGGGCTCGTGGAAGCGGCGGCTGGTCCCTGTCAGGTGGGCCCAACAGGACTCTACGATGGGATTTTTTCAGGATTGCTCGGCCCCGCAACTAATCACGCATGGGCTGGATTGACAGGCCTGTTCGGCCTTACCAATTCAATGGCAGAGCTTTTCTTTTTGAACATGGCATAGCTATTTCAAAACAAACAAACAAACAAAATTAAAAGATCAAAGAACCAGAAAAAAATCATGCGTACAACGAGAGCAAACGGGGGCAGCAAAACAAAATACGTTGCACTGCTACAATATATATGTCGTAAATGGTAATGGAAAATTCATTGCAATTGCACAAAAATAGATTTGTCACCTGTCGGCTGTCGGAGAATTTCAAATCTACATTTGTTCTAAAAGTAATTTTTTTTACAAAATTATAGATGTTTGATAAAATTATTGTAAAACTACATATTTAACAATAAATTCATCATAAAACTATAAATTTAAGGCTAAGTACCACAAACTACATATTTAATAATAAAATTATCATAAAACTACATTTTTATATAGAGCAAGGTTATTAATCTACTCATATTCTGATGGTGATAATAAAAGAGGTAATTATATTAAACAAAATAAAAATAAAAGATCGATATCTATTGTGTTTCACATAGCATGTATAGCAGATTTATATTTTAATACTTTCAGTACAATAAGTATTGGCAAACGCATGTCGGCATGTGACGTGAGAAAGGGATCCTACCAACTAAGGGAGTGCAAAATTTCTATTGATTTATACAACAACTAAGGGCAACCAATTTCAAATTTTTAAATTAGTTTATGGGTTTTTTTCCTCCATTTTCATCGCTAAGATTTGACCCTTAAGAGCATCACCAACCGTTATCTTATTTCCTTCCCAAAATTGATTTGGGGATTTTTACTTAAAAAATCGGATCCAACATATCCCCAAAGGCCTTACACTAGTTTTGGAGTTCTCATCCCCATATATTTTGTATTTTGGATTTGAGGGCGAGAGAGCGACTCCCAATCTCTAGTTTGCGCATTTCTCATGTGCTTCCCGCGTGAGCGGCGATCAATCTTTCTACGCGTGTGGAAGGAAAAAAAACAGAAATTTCTATTGGTAGTTTAACATAAGGCCCACTTTTAGATGTTGGGATTAAATTGAATTTAGCCTACGTCTTGGAGGGAGGAGATTTTCCACTTCCGATTTTCAATTTAGTAAACCTAAAATTTAAATTTTGGAGATAAATTATTGCTAATCTGTTGGTGATGCTATAAGACAACTAACAATATACGAAGTAAGTATTAACCATTAAAAATACTTTTTTATTTCTTTGATCATATATTTTTGGATAAAATTGTCTTTCAAAGTCTAGTAGTAACTAAAATATTTTAATGGTTTGAGATACGACTGTTAAACTGTAAAAAATAAATACAGCAACCACTTGTGATATTAAGGTTTAAACAACTAATGTCAGAAAACAGACTATAACGAACTAATAACCCAACAGTTTTAAAATTCTTTTTTTTTACTAAGGCCGATTCTTCTAATTAAATTTTTTACCGTGTTCCATAAAACATCATCATTGTCAAAGGATAATTATCTAAACTATCGAGGAGACATTTACTTGTTGTTTGCGTCTCACTTAAATAATTATTAAAAAAATCAACAAGATAAATTAATATGCGATAGACCACTCCACAAACATGCGATGTCAAATGTAACTTCAAAATGTTGCAAAGAAAAAACAAATTTGACCGTAGAAATATACGTTAACTAGTCGTAATTTGATTTTTTTTGTGTGTGAAAAGAAATCAATTTTAACTTATATGGCTGTAGAGTGATATATCACATTTAATACCTCTTCTTAAAATGTTTAATTTTTTATAACTATTAAATTTACCTGCAAATAAGAATGATGTCACGAGAAAATCACTCTCATCATCAAATCAAGGGAACCGTATGAAACACTGGCAAATGGCACGTGGCGTTGTGGCAGTGACTGAGCACCTAAATATCCAAAGCAAGAGGCCAGAGGCGTTGGAGAACAGAACAAAGGTGGAGACTGCGATTCACTTCCACTCCCTTCCCCACTGCCTTCCTCCTCTCACTCTCACTCCCCCTGCGACCGCCGCCGAGAGGCCATGGCGGAGCAAGCTCCACTGGCGCCGATGCCTCGAGTCAAGCTCGGCACCCGGGGCCTAGAGGTGAACATGCCCGCTTGCTCGATCGTCAATTCCTACTTCCCCGTATTTCCGTTCGTTCGGTTTGCGCTGAATCGGCCAGTGACAGTGAGTGTGAATCGATGGATGTTGAATTCGACGACCTTGCTGTAGGTGTCCAAGCTGGGGTTCGGGTGCATGGGGCTCACGGGCGCGTACAACTCGCCGCTCGACGACGACGCCGGCGCCGCCGTCATCGCGCACGCCTTCCGCCGCGGCGTCACCTTCTTCGACACCTCCGACGTCTACGGCCCCCTCGCCAACGAGATCCTCCTCGGCAAGGTCTGGTCGGGGCCCTTCCCTTCCTTCATCGTTCGTGGTTTCTTGTGGTTGGATTGGATGATGATGAGCTAACCCCATCGCCTTCGGATTTCCAGGCGCTGAAGCAGCTGCCGCGGGAGCAGGTGCAGGTGGCCACCAAGTTCGGGATTCGGCGGGGCGCCGACGGCGTGCGCGCCGTGTGCGGCCGGCCGGAGTACGTGCGCGCCTGCTGCGAGGCCAGCCTCGGCCGCCTCGGCGTCGACTACATCGACCTCTACTACCAGCACCGCGTCGACACCACCATCCCCATCGAGGACACGGTCTCTTGCTCCACCTCGCCCCCTTTCTTGATTTCTTTCTTCAGTTCTTTACCCTTCCTCACACACACCTTGTAAATTCTTGTATTGCCATTCGGGTTGGTGCTGAACTAGATTGGTGAGCTCAAGAAATTGGTGGAGGAGGGGAAGGTGAGGTACATTGGGCTATCGGAGGCGAGCCCTGACACCATCAGGCGAGCTCATGCCGTGCACCCAATCACTGCAGTTCAGATGGAGTGGTCTCTCTGGGCTCGTGACATTGAACCCGAAATTGTGCCGCTCTGCAGGTGAATTCCGCATCGCAGGTTTTACTAATGATTGATTGCTCATGCAAGTAAACTCATCGCAATCCATGGACTCCATTCCAGGGAGTTGGGCATTGGAATTGTTCCCTACAGCCCTATCGCCCGCGGGTTTTTCGGAGGGAGAGGAGTGACAGAACAATTGTCTGCTGAATCTAATTTGGTACACTCTACTCTAAGTGCCATTCCTTGATCTGCAGCATACAATTACTTTCAGTTACTTAGGTATGAACTTTGTTTTATTCTTTCCAGCAAGGACATCCACGATTTTCTGCTGAAAATTTGGAGAAGAATAAACAGCTTTATCTGAAAACGGAAGAGCTGGCCAAGAAGCACCAGTGCAGCCCTGCTCAGCTAGCTTTAGCTTGGGTTCTTCATCAAGGGGATGATGTGGTCCCAATACCAGGTGAGTGCTATAACCCCGTCCTGATGTAACTGATAGTGCACAATGCAGATCTATATGGCCAATGCTTTCTCCCTTTTCTTTTTTACCTTGAGATAAAGGGATTGATGGATATTCAAATCTCTTTCCTTGTTAGTGAAATGTGTAGTTCTGACAATAGAGCAAGATACACAAAGAGATAATATAATCGGATAAGCATGTAGTTTAATTGTGAATTTGTGATAGTGTTTTGTTCGGGGAAAAAAAACATGGCTGCGAAGCATTTCATGGTAACATTGAGGTTTCAATTGTGATATACTTGTAGTAGTTTATTTGGTTGTAAAACAAAGGAGAAACACCCCTCTTTTGCCTCACAGTTTGTGCTACATGATGTTAACTTCAAACTTGTAGTGATGCATCTTTTTTTACTAATCTATAGCCCAAAAAAAATTGTGGCTCCAAAAAATGGTATGATTCTACAATATTGTTCCTCTTAATGCTTGTTGTTACCTTCAACTCTTCAAGTCCCAAGCACGGACATAAGCAGCAAAGCTCGTTGTTTGTATGCTCTAATATGCCGTGATTGATCCATCACTGAGAAACAATTCGTTACATTTTCTCAGGAACAACCAAGATAAAAAACCTAGATGCCAACATTGACTCCTTAAAGGTGAACCTCACGGATGATGACCTGAAAGAGATCTCTAGCCAGGTACGCGAAGAAGATGTCGCTGGTGGAAGACAGTATACCTCATTTGCACATTACACCTGGAAGTATGCTGACACGCCAAAGAAGTAAAGCTAAAAAAATATTAGTATATCAAAGATATTGCCTGATTGCTATTCTCCCTGCGTATGTGCTGGATGGTGTTAAATGTATGCCTTGTGAATGCTCTCTGCGGTTCTAATAATGTACTGCCAATAACAAATTACTGCACTTCCACTCGCCTTTGAGAGCTTCACGAAACATATAAAACTTGCTTAAGCACAATTTTTATGTCTGCATTCTTTTAGTCCTTGTATAGACTGAAAGTGGAGTGTTCGTTGGTTTGGTGGCTAATTGGCTAATTCTGTCACACTTGTGGCAAGCAAATTTAACCAATTGAAACTGATTAATGCCATAATTGTGACACACCACACTTTTAAGTCAATGGCAATGCCTCTAGTTGCCACCATTGTGGCGAAATGCGGATGCCACACAAGCCCTTAAGGTATGGTTTATCGGTTGTATGTTCGCAACAAATTTGTGAGGCAAGCAGATGTATATGCACACTCTGAAAAATGGGTGTACATACACAGACGCGTATCAGTACATAAAAACAGTGATTTGTGAAGACGATGCCCTGGCCACTGGAGACTGAGGGAGCGTTTGGTTCCCTTGCCTAGCTAGACTTGCTAGGCAAAGGCAAACCAACTTATTGCCTGCTTGCTGGGTTTGCCGTACCCGTCCAATTGGTTCGTTTGCTTTTAGCATTCATCCATGACTGGAAAGATGGAGTGATTTATTAACAAGAAGATGGCAGCGAAATAGATACACGATCTGCTAGCCCGATAGTTCGGCAAGAATGGAGCCTGGTTGTTGAAGAAAGTCGCACATGTCTCGGAGGAAAATAAATTGCTTCGTCATATCGCTATTTTTTTCACGCGAGGAGTTTGCCGTCGGAGGCGAGCCGATTTGGCTCTCCCTTGTGAGCCAGCATTTTCTCGCCCCTGCGGGCCAGCTCACCCTCAAAAGTTAGGATTTTTTCACAATTCTAAACGCCTGGTCTTGCCTGGCTAGGCTAGGTTTGATCTAGTGCAAATCATAATTGGCGCGTACGCGCCCCCGCCCGGCGCGCACGCGCCGGCCCACACGTCCCATCGTCAGCCATTCTCAGCGCTTGTGCTGGCGAGACGCGCGTTTATTTTTTTTCGGAATTTTTTCTCTATACGTATAAAACTGATTCGGTTAGTTCTAGGTAATGATAATAATTAAGATAAGATTTGTCTTTTTTTGAAGATTATTTTAAGTAATAGATTGAAAAGAAATCTATACGTGAAGTCAAATTATGAAAACTTTCAATCCAGATTTGAAAACTTTCAACCTAGATTTGAAAACATTTTGAAGTTAAATTTTGAAAACTTTCAACTTTTCATCCCAAATTTAAAACTTTTCATCCTAGATTTGAAAACTTTCAAGCCATATTTGAAAACTTTCAACTCAAATATAAAAACTTTCAACTCAAATTTAAAAACTTTCAATACAAAATTTAAAAACTTTCAAGTCAAGATTTCAAAACTTTCAAGTCAAATTTGAAAACTTTTAACTCAAATTTAAAAACTTTCAATACAAAATTTAAAAACTTTCAAGTCAAAATAAAAAACTTTCCAATTCTACATTTGTAAAGAGGTGTGTAAAAGATTAAAAAAAATCGGAAAGAAACAGAGGAAAAAAACGCGCTCAGAGACAAAAAAAAAAAGGTGCGAACATGAAAAAAAACGCACGCCGTTTTTTTTACACGGTAAGCGCTAGGGTTAGTAGGAACGCGCGCGGCTTCCCGTTCTGTCGCGTGCGCGCGCAGTAGGAACACCCTTGATCTAGCCTTGGATCCAAACGCACCCTGAGATTTTCTCTAATGTACGGGTTGACTCGGACGCTTATATTTACGACTAATTATTATCCGTTTATTGTCACTTCGTCAATCCCAAGACATATATGAATGAGAGAATCTATTCTATACCACTGAGTTTGATCGAGTTCAACGATTTGCCATCGACATTATCTCCTTCTATAATATACCGACGACTTTATGAATTGTTCTATAATACGTTATTGGGCTGGGACTTCTTTTCAAAAATACCCAAAATACCCTTAGAGACATACAAGATTAACAATTGATTTATCTCATTAGAAGTTTCAAAAAAATATAAAAATTTTTATGTGGCCTCGTTACACAACATGTAAGTTTGTATACATGTTTCAAGTTTTTTCTGGTATATTTAGGTTTTAGAAAATAATATTTTTATGTGGTATATGAGTGAAAATTTGTTTATACGAGAGATAATAGCACAAAAATATCTTATGTAGTGTACGAAAGATAATTTATATTAAAAACATCAATAAAATGTATTTTATATAGCATATAACAAATGAGTTATATATTTTTTTAAAAAAAATAAATGTAAAAAACTTGAAACTTCTATACAAACTTCCATGTTGTGTAAGTAGGCCATATAATTTTTTTTATATTTTTTTGAAACTTCTAATAAGATAAATTAATTGGTAACCTTGTATGTCCATAAGGGTATTTCAGTTATTTTTGAAAATAGTGTTCAGCCAATGACGTACTGTAGAACAATTGATAAAGTCACTGGTATATTATAGAAGGAGATAATGTCGATAGCAAATCGTTGAACTCGAACAAACTCAGTGGTATGTTTGTGCGCGCGTTTACAGAGATAATGTGGACGCGTTGTAAAATTGTGTTTCTAAAAAAATCTCTATTTTTTACATGAATTTTTTTTTCTAATTTCATTCGTACGCTGAATAACAAAGGTTAAATAAACAGAAAATCCATCGAACGGCGTCCCGTGACACCGGTGCTGTGGTCATCCGCCTTGCAGGCTATTAAAATCACACGTGAGACGCGCCGTGCAATCCGTGACCGATTCCCATTTGGCCATAAACGCCGTACTACGTGCATGGCACGCTAATCCTCTCTCGAGTACTCCTACTCGACACGGAGTCGGCCTCGTCAGCCAGCTATAAATTCACGCGCCGCGCCAACCTCTCGCAACTAACCACGCCACGTATGCCGGGTCGCACCCAACCCAAACCCAAAGGTCGCTAGGAACTCGCTACTACTCCCACCCACCCACCGATCATGTTCGCGCCGACGTTCGCGGTGGCCGCCGCTCTGGCGCCGCCGCCGCCTCGAGGAGGCGGAGGCGGAGGAGGGGAGTTCGACCACTTCGTGGTGGTGGACTTCGAGGCGACGTGCGAGAGGGGCAGGCGGATCTACCCGCAGGAGATCATCGAGTTCCCCGCGGTGCTCGTGGACGCCGCCACGGGCCGCCTCGTGTCCGCGTTCCGCGCCTACGTCCGCCCGCGCCACCACCCGCGGCTCACCGACTTCTGCCGCGAGCTCACGGGGATCGCCCAGGGCGACGTCGACGCCGGGGTGGGCCTCGCCGAGGCGCTCCTCAGGCACGACGAGTGGCTGCGTGCGGCCGGGGTCGTCGAGGGCGGCGGGCGGTTCGCCGTCGTCACGTGGGGCGACGCCGACTGCCGCACCATGCTGGAGCAGGAGTGCCGGTTCAAGGGCATCGCGAAGCCGGCCTACTTCGACCGGTGGGTCGACCTCAGGGTCCACTTCGAGGCGGCGTTCGGCGGCGGCGGGCAGCGGGTGAAGCTGCAGGAGGCGGTCAGGGCGGCGGGGCTGGAGTGGGTGGGGCGCCTGCACTGCGGCCTCGACGACGCCTGCAACACGGCGCGCCTCCTCGTCGAGCTCTTGCGCCGCGGCGTCCCCATCTCCATCACCGGCTCGCTGCCGGCCGCGCCGCCGCCGCTTGAGCAAGCTCGTAAGCAGCAGCAGCAGCAGGAGATGCAGCAGCTGCTCGTCCCGTGCGGCGCGGCGGTGTGCTGCTACTGCGGCGTGGCGAGCACGGGAGGGGTGATGGCGATGCCGGGGTCGACGCAGCGGCGGTGCTTCTACGGCTGCGGCAACTGGACGGCGGTGTCCGGGGCGACGTGCCCCTTCTTTCTCATGGGCGGCGTAGTGGATTGTCCTATAAATTAGCAACTCTGTGCTGGGAATTCTTACACACAAAAAAAAATATTATGTAATCAAATTACAACAGATAGCCTTTTTTCATGTTCAGTTTCAGTTTCTGATCTAAATGAAATTATAGGAGTACCATTTTTTGCTGAATCAAGCTGCCCCCTTTTTTTTTTTTGCTGTCCTGCTAATGATTTTGTTGTCGTTTTGAAGATCCGACTACATTGTCCCAATTTTCGTTCAAAAAAAGACTACATTGTCTTAATATGCATTTAAAAGATACTTTTGGTATTTGAATAATCAGATAGAAAATTTGAGATGACTGCCAAAAGCAAACTATGTCCCTAGGCTTCATTTTGCACAACTGAACTAGGCTTCATTTTGTAGAACTGAAAGTGCAGACATCACTGAAGCATCCATTACAGGAAAATATGTTCTAAAACCTGATGTTCCAAGATCACCTAAAACGTGAAACAGTAAAAGGAGGAAACGAATTGCAATGTCACCAAAATCTCCATGGATCCTGGTATGGAGGAACATAATTTTCTGTAGGGGGTAGGAGGTGAAAGGATGCCACTGTTTTCTGTAAAGAAGGCCCCATCTGCGTAGCAAACATTTGATTAATTGATCAGAATCTAAACAAAAAACAGTCTCAGAACATGTTCCTCCTGTAACTGCAACAACGATAATGAAATCAAACACCAGGGCATGCAAAACTCACAGATTCCCACTGCTTGCTGAGTGTTGAAGCATTCAAGGAGTACAAGTAACCTAATCAAAGAAAAGGAGAGTGAACAGAACAATCCTTCAAATGTATGGATGAAGTGAATGATCAAAATTAGAAAAATGAAATGATACCATCTCGTTCAGCAGTGCAGGCTACGTTATGGCGAAACAGATTTGGTTCTGGTGCCTGAAGAAACAAATGTAATCATTAGGAACACTTATCTGATTGTCAATCTGTTAATACTACAATAACAGGAAAAGTTTATCTGTATTGCCTTTGTGAGTTTGTATTGTATGTCCCTACATTTATTTACAGATGTATACATCCCAGAAACTTACAGATTGTGTAGGAGATTTCCGAACTAGATACTCATAGTACCAGTATGGTTCTCCATCGACCTACAAATAAAATTCAAGATGTATAGATGCATTCAATTGCAGGAAACAAAATCTATTTTGGAAGAATAATTGTATCATGAGGATAGAGGTAATAGGCAAAACTGATCAAACTTACATCTGAAGAGTGTGCATCAAGGACAGAACTCTCTGTCATGCGTTGGCCTGTCGTCACCTTCTGCAATGGGATACAGTTTGTTATAGAAATAAATAGGGATCATGCAAAGCCACAATCGCAATTGTCCTTTACATGAACACAAGAAATTACCAGTGAAGATTTTTCAGCCAAAATCCAATCAGCAACATCTTTTGGATCCCACTTGCTCTTGTCCTTGGAAGGCGGAAAACGTGAATTTGGCGGCCCAATCTGCACCAGTCAAATGATGCACATTAGTACATTACTATGCTGATATATTTATTGCACCGTTACAGTTTAACTGGTGTGATCCCTACTGATAGTTTCGTAACATGACAGTTTGCGCCAAATGGTAACATTGTGATCGTAACTACCCACGGAATTCAATTGAATCGGTATAAACCTAGCACATTGCAAATCTATACAGTTTCTAGTACTGGATAGTATTTGAAGAATTACCGAGACTGAGATGACAACGTTATGTATCATGTCAACTCGCTCCGATACAATACGTTGCCGTGCATCAGCTGTATAAAGTTCCAGTCAGCTTTTATCATGAACCATAAAGGATGCGAAATTTGGAAGATCTTGCGCTCAACAAGGCAAAAGAAACATTGCGAATTATTGTTATACCAGAGGCTACTCACGAGATAGTGGTGCAGCAGAGGAATATCGTTCTGGTTTTCTGGATTCTACCCTGGAAACAGAATATATAGCAAGTTCCATTCAGAATGGCAAAACAACAAAATTAGCCTCGCGGGGAGAACAGAGAATTTTTTAAATTGCAGTACCATTTGAATGTGAATTTCTTTCCTGGCAATTCAACTGGGTAAAGAAAAGAATATGCATTGATCGGGTCAACTAGCGTAGCCATTTTCACATCTTCATCCATCTCGGCAACAGCATGCGAATCTACAGAATCATCATGACTCATCAGCAATGTACTCACCAACACATACAAAGTACAAACTGGATAATGAAATACGGAGTAGAAAGAGAACAGCAGGTGGCACATGCCCATGAGCCCATCATCCATAGTACTCCATTCTAAATAGTTCAGTTTCAGAAAAATGATAATACAGCTCACAATTTCACTCTGAAATTTAGAAATGATATGCCCTAAAATTGCCACACTTAGACAGATCATCAGTCACGTAATACGAGTTAAACGGAGATTAAACATGCCCACAATTAACAGTTTCCATTCACGGTCGAGAGGCAAAAAGTAAAGTAGAAGCCACAGCTCGTCGATTTCGATTCCGCTCACCTGAAACCGGGAGGACGAGCACGAACGAAGACACGAGGCCGGACAGCAGCAGGCGCCTCCTCTCCAGGGCCAACCCGTCGCCTCCCGAAGCGGGGCCGCGCGCGCTCACGCTGGAGGAGCACGGGACGAGCGCCGCGCGGCGTCTCGTCCCCGTCGACGTGGCGCGCGCGCGCCCTCCTCCTCCTGTGCCAACCGCGAAGCGGAGGGCTTGCCTGGGGTGGAGCGAGGACGGGGTGGGGGAGGGAGAGGGAGAGGGAGGAGGGGAGAGAAGAGCAGCGGCCGCCATGGCTGCTCTGCTCTGCTGCTGCCTCCTTCCTTGCCTCTAGCCTCTCGCTGCTTCGCTCGGGAGTCGGGAGAGGGCTGGATTTTCTATCCAAACAGTTTGCTACAGAAGAAGAAAAGATCTCTGCAGCTTATCACGTATACTACTATTACAATAGGATTTTTGGCATATAAAGCCACTATAAATGAAATATAATGAAATTGAGACCAGTATTTATTTCCACCTCTTGTCATGCAAACTGGTGGGAGGAAAAGAAAAGCTACAACAAATGACAAGACTCCTGCTAGCCTGAAGCCTTGAGGCTGAAATGCGAGGAAACATGGGGAGTGGCCTTTTGCTCCAAGAATTCAACTTTTTTTTCATCATTCTTTTTTTTAGTGAAATTTATGCAAAGATATTGTGAATACAACAGGAAAAAAATACAAAGCACAACATAATACATCTCACAACACACGCTCGAAGAAAAATATATATAATATCATAATACAACAGAATAGATTTTTTTTTCACAAATACAACTTCCCCGGAATGGTATCTAAACTAGAATGATCATGAGCAGTTTCTACTTTTCTCATGATTAAAAAAAGAAACAAGTACCACATTCACACACCCCCACGTGAATACATCCCCTAATATGCGCTCGAGGAGACGAAGAGACGGAGTGCAATGATCTAACCTTGTGAAATTAAAGCTTTGACAGCTGAACTACGTGTGGGTATTACTTATTTACTTATGGCCACCAAGATTTTCAACCCAGTGAGTGAAATCGTGCAACCACTACTTAACCACCACACCAACTTCATCATGAGAATATTAAGGGCCTATTTGGCACAGCTCCAGCTCCAGGAGGGGTGGAGCTAGAGCTCAGCCTTCCAGCTCCACCAAATTTGGAAGTAGAGTTGGGTGAAGCTCTCTCACAAAATGTACTAGAGTTGTAGAGCTGGGTTTAGGCAGCTTAACAACTCTACTCCAGACTCAACTTATAGAGTTATATTTAGAAGTTAGAACTGTACCAAACAGACCCTAAATATTTTAAAAACCAAACCTGCAGTGAAAACCAAAAGAAAAAAAACATAATGACTCCGTAATTCAGTAATGTTTTGTAAGGTGCATTATATAATGTGAGCGCACACTAGATTACAAACTACTCACCCCGTCTCATAATAAAATATAATAACATTTTCAATATAAAACAAACGTTGAATCAAAATTTATTCAAAGTTAAATTTAATGGAACTAATTTGGTGTCCTAGATATTGTTATTTTTTATCAAGTCTAAATAATTTTGATTAAAAAAAAGTCAAACAACATATAATATGAAATGAACAGAGTATATATGTGACGTATCATAAATTATAAATTATTGTTCAGATTTATAGGTTTAGAATTTGCATTAGTACGAGTCGCAGTTGCATTCGAACGAAGGGAGTAGCTCACATTCCGGCCCCACAACACAATGGGAGCCCAACCCATGAAACCAAAATACTCCGAGGCCCGTTTATTACCAGCTTTCCTGAGCCCTACTACACGCCCGCCCGCCGCCTCCACCGTCTCCGCTCGCCGCGCGCTCCCGCCGCCGCGCAGCTCATCTTCCCCTAGGCTTCTTCCCTTCCGGCGGGGCCATCCAGATTACTGGGTCCTCTCTGTCCAGAAGGCCTCGCCTCGCCTCGCCGGTGACAGCCATGGGGGAACCGAGCAAGGAGCTCCTGGACCTCCCCTCCGAGCCCAAGCCGCCATCCCTCATCGGTGCGCGTCCCTTTGTCCTCCGAATCCCTCTCGTGGTCTCCTCCGTCCTCGTTGACGTCTGGAATCTACGTGGTTTTTGCAGAGTCGATTCTCGTGGGGAGGAGAGAACAGCAGCAGCACAAGGAGGGGAAGCGCAAGGCGGGGCCTCCCACCGATCCACTCCCCAAGAGCCAAGGTATCCTTCTTCTTCTTCTTGCCGCCGCCGCCGTACAGCTCGAATTGGAAGATTGTGCAGGTGTTCTCGATTGCGCTTAGCTGCCGCATGATTGAGTTTGCTGATTTGACACAAATCACACAAACCTTTTTTTTTCTTGTTCGCTTGAACTATCGGGTTAATAACTATTTCCTCCGTTTCAGATTATAAAACTTTCTAGCATTTCATTAACATCTACATGAAGGTGGACAATGCTAGAAAGTCTTATAACCTGAAACGGAGGTGAAACGGAGGTAGTAGTATTCCGACGATATCGAGGGAACGTATCCTATACATACAAGCCTCCCCGTGCATGCACAGACCTTACACACACCAATTAGCAAGTAGTATCACCGAAAGTTGTATGTGCTTTTAGTATTATTACATCTATGTGTAATACTCCATCCGTTTCATATTATAAGTCGTTTGACTTTTTTCTTAGTCAAATTTATTTAAGTTTGATCAAGTTTGTAGAAAAATATACTAACATTTTCAATATAAAACAAACATATTATCAAACTACATCCAATGTTAAATTCAGTGAAACTAATTTGGTGTTGTAGATGTTGCTAATTTTTTTTATATAAACTTAGTCAATCCTAAAGAGTTTTGACTAAGAAATAAGTCAAACGACTTATAATATGAAACAGAGGGAGTATCAACTACGATTTGATTTGCCAGTTGGTTGGTGTGCACGACGTGTACACGAAAGGCTTGTGTGTACATGATATCTTTTCCGATATCGAAGCCACCTGCTAGTTTGAAAATCAAATCGTAGTCTGAGTTTAGCTTATTAGCTTTACCAGAAAAGAAACAAATGCTTTGAGGTGGGATTGCTCTTTGTGGCTGGAACCAGGGGCAGAGACAGCGTGGGACAGGGAGGGGGGGGTTCTTTAGACCCTCTACCCCCTAATATACCATTAGAGCCCCATAATACCCTCCTAAAATTCTAAACCATATATTTATAGATGAGGGCCCAAAAGGCTAAGAAGGCCCAAAAAAATCCTAACCCATCCCTAAATCTCTCTTAGTTGCTCTTGGTCATTTTGTTTTAGCTCCCGCTATAATTTTATCCTGGCTCCGCCACTGGCTGGAACTGGACAGAATGGGTTGTAATTTGCACGCAGAGGAGTTCCTTCAGTTTAGTTTATGCACTTACTCACTGGATTTTCCTTTGTTTTGGGTGTTGTAATGGAGGTCAGTTCTAGGAAGAGTGAAAGATTTCTTGGGAGAGATGGCAAAGGCGAACGAGAAATTGCATCTCGATGTAAAAGTATGCCTCTAGCTGATATTACGTTAGATGAGTGATCATGCTGTTAATTAACTCCTAAAGATAATATTTGTGTAATATATTTGCAGAATAAGCGTCCTGAAGAGTATGATATCGAAGCGCTTACAGGGAACGAGAAGGAATATATTGAGATGGTAAGTTAGATTTTCTCTTAGTAACATGATGGAGGGGAATGCAGGGTGCAGCTAGTACTAACTGGTGAGCACATAATTCTATCTCCAGGATTTGCTTCTTGGTGTAGCTGATTTGCATTCAGAGAAAGCTGTAGAAGTAGCTGAAGCAACAATGAACGGCTTCCCACCTTCAGGAAGGTCATTCGCTTGCAGCTCATCTGACTCTGAAGATGATAGTGATGGTAGTGACGAAGACAGCGGTGATGAAACAAACATGTCTAGCAAAGATGCGGATGAACCGGAGGCTCAAGCATCAAAAGGAAAGAAGCCCAATAAACGGCAGAAGATCGTTGTTCTTAACTAGGATCCTTGTCATCTTTGACAAACCAAGGGGAGGGAGTTGTGCTAGTATTTCAGAAAGGTTGTGCTACAGAATGGGACTGAGACTACCAGGGCAGCTTGAAGAACAGACATCAAGATATCAGAATTACCTACTGTATTTTGTTGTAGAATGCTGAGGTTAGCTAGGATTATTTGTTTTCGTCAGGGCCAAATGATGGCATGTCAAGGCCCTACTTGGGGAATACACTGCGCAGCAGTATTGCCAGTTCTGATCTATACGACTATACGTGTCCCTTTAGTTCCTTGGAGCCGAGTTATTGATTTTGTTTCATATACATTGAAATCAATGTTCACGAATACTCATGTATTCGTTTAATTGTCTGATAGTCTGAGTCCAAGCCATACATCTAATGAATTAATTGTACTTCCAAGATAAAATTATACCTAAATTCCAACTGAAACTTGCATCTACAATGTTGTGTTGTCGGTAGTAGCTGTTATTAATAATCTGAATCCATGTCAACAATCTAATCTATATAATCTTCAAGACGATAATTCCGTATGTGTTGTTAAAAGCTTCATGACGACAACTTCAACACGTGTCTGCAAACTAAAAAAAGGACATGAACCACGCAACACCTTGCAGAGAAGGATTTTAGCTGTGTACACACTGTTCAATCGGGGCGTTCCTAAGCGCCATATACTACAACAAAGCAGCGCTCATGCGAAATTACCTTTTGAAAACACACAACAGCTACAAATGAAAATGGGCAGTCCCGGGCCCCGACTCCGAGCAGCTTCCTTTTAAAAAAAATAAATCATGTATGCAAGTTCATAGCATGTATGCATTACACTGCAACTCCACAGATACAAACACTTCTACACAGAGTTAGCTCTACAATATAGGAGGAAGCACCTCAAATGACGAAAAATTAACAGCAAAAGTAACACATAGATACGGAACAGATCACAGGTTGCGCGAGCCATGCATGTCGAAGAATGCAACTTGTCCAAAGAAAGGAAGATAGGGACTTTCCCGGGCCAGGACCTCAGTACTTGGCAGATTCGGCTAACAAATCTGAGAACTGTTCAGGAACAAAGGATTTCACCCTCAATGGGCCTTTGCCTTCCTGACTAGGAGAGAATGATTTAACACCGATGACTGTGGCCATTGCTGCAAAAGAATGTAGTTCAAATCAAACTTTGTTGCTTAATGTTGGTATCATATGTTATTTTATTAACAATACCATCAGGAGGGTGCATGCAAAATAGTACATAGACAGGCAGATGAAACCCCAAAGAGAAGTTAAGCATTGTTATAGCAGTATTAGATTCTGGCCCAGTATCCAATTGTAATTTACCCTGACTTCCCCCACTGTCTTCCACTTCCAAAGCAGGAGCTTTCTACTCTCCACAAGTTATCAATGTACAGACAAGTAGACAACTAGCAGGATGAAAAATGGAGCTTTCATGTGGCAGTTTCTCATAGCCACCAAGACAAAAGTTAGCTTACTTATGTTTGTCTTACCTATATCGTGATATAAGTTCCATTAGTACTTAACCGTAATGAGATCTAGTAAGTCGCTAAAACACTATCCAGCACAGCTGGAGAATGGAGGCATTGGAGGAACCAAGGAAATAACAAAATTGCCTGAACTAAAATATAGTAACTAATAAAAAAAAGTTATTCCGACTAGCAGCATTTCCTGAGCAGCAGATTTGATTAAAAAAAAAGGATTTTGAAGAACTTACTGGAGTTAGGCCAGTAGGCTGTAGTCAGGCTGTTAACGGTCTATTCCAGTTTACTATTTGCACTATTGTTTTCATATACTTTTCCTCAGGAATATGAGTATTTAATTTTGTGAGCATTAACATCAAGGTTCTGTTAAAATAGGTATAGAAGAGCTTCTTTCCAGACAGTATGGAACCTCATGGTCCAAACCGGAAGGTCTGGTTAGCACCAGTTATATATTCCTGCCTAGAAGCAGCAAAAGACAGGAACACACACAAAAACAGTTGATGTTGATTCCCCTCAAAAAACTGTTGGCATGATCATTATACTTACTTCCATGTATACGCCCATATATAAATCTTTCACCAAGCCAATGCTGCAAAGGTTTTGACCGTATTCGTGTGCTTCGTCTAACACCCGCTTGCCAAGTAAGACCCGCATCTGATAATAATAACACATGAAAATAGAAATATCAGGCTTCCTACTTATACTTGTGTATTTGTGTTTGTTATTTCTGAATAAAATCTAAAAATGGTGCAATCTGCAGAAGTAAGACCTGCCAAGCTTTTTCTTCTGTTCAAATCTTGCTTCTTATTTCTCTTTCGAACTTCATTTTTACTCGTACCATTACTCGGTGATGGTGACTGGCTTGTACAAGCTGGCTGTTGCTGGAAGTCCAAAAGCAAATATGAAATTAATCCATGTAACAGAAGGTGAATATGTCTATCTAACAGAAGTTGTCAGTCTGTGTGATGCTTGTTTATGGCTGTGTGTGACTTCAGGGGCCTAAACAAGTCCATATCTTAACCTACTGAATAAAACGAAACTACTCATCCCTCATTACCTCAACATGGGTGATGTATTAAATGCTCAAGCATGTTACATGTACCTTTATGGCCTTCAATAACATATGCATGACATGATAAACAAGAAGTCATCCAATGCTTTTGTGCTGTCTATTCGCATGCTATCCATACGATATTTTACAGAAATACAGAACAAGATGCTCACTGAATATTCAAGGAAAGAAATCTACCTCAACATCTGTGTCCTGCACATGAGGTTGAATCTCTGGTTCAAAGTTTGGTGCGTGTGTTTCCAAATCACCTGCCTCACCTGTGAAGAAAATGTGCTTCAGTAATCCACACGGAAGAAGACTATTAATGCCATAATATGTGCCCTAAACATTTTAGGGTGTCTTTGGTGTGGGGACAAGGTGGGATGGGTTAGACTCATCCCTGTTTATGGGATGGGATAGTCCTAACTATCTGTTTGGTTGAGGGAAGGGGTCAGATGATCCCGTTCCACTTGTCCCCGAACCAAACACCCTCAAAAGTGGGCTCGACCGTCGCGTCCCACCCCATCCCATAGAACCAGCAGAAAGCGTATAGGTTTCAGTGTTTCACCAAAAATACAGCATAATGACAAATAAAGTTTGAATCAGTTGGAGATAGCTCATCAAATCTTTCCAGCATTATATGGAACCAAAGGATGCTGAATTCCCATCTTAGAAGGCCCGTGGTCATGCCTAGTGAAGCTGCCGACCGTAGCTAAGAACAGTCCTTTGTGGCCAAATAGCTATGGATACTAGGTCAAAACAATCTTTCAAGATACATGTATCATGAGTAAATATAAGCCCAAAGCAGAATAGGTACAAACCTGCTGCTCTTTTTTGTCGCTTTGATGGCTGCTTCTTATTGTTTCCTCTTTGTTCCTTGCCTTTACTTGGGGAGAGTGCATTGTTTATATCAACTGCCAGTTTCTGAAATTCCAAAACAGTCAAGCATGTAAAAAAAGAAGACAAATAAATAAGCAACTCATTTCCATAAACATGATGCAGGCAATATGGCAAAAGTCATTGCAATTTTGCCAGCCCATGCCTACCGGTGCTACGTAAATGACAACAATGATGCGTTATCCATATCAATAAAGTAGAGAGACAAATGTTCAACTAATGCTGCTAACTTCGAGTAGGAATACTTACAGCAGCAGTTTCAAAGGCTGTGGCAAACAGAAAAAATAATAATGATGAGAAAACTTACCTCAGTGTTTCCACGATGTATTTCAGATTGATTCTGTGGATAAGTATCTTCTGGAGGAATTTCCGGTGTATGTACTGTGTTGTCTGTATCTTCTGGGGGTATTTCCGGTGTATGGATCAGGTTGTCTGAGAAGAAAATATGCTTTTAAAAATCAAAAGAATAAGAAAAGAAAATTTGGGAGTAAAAAAACTCGCTTGTTCTGGCTTGAAAAAAGAAAGAGAAACCAGCTTATTTTGTGCCATTTATGTCCCCATAAGGTTCTCCTTGCGAAGTCCTCACTGATATTACAACATAACAAGTTTCCAAAGGAAGTGAGATACTAGTGCTTGACGAAAGCATATCCTATTGCAATGTCTTCTCAGCTATACCATGATTGAGTTTGTGGATAAGAGATGAAAGCAAGAGTACAGACAAGAGGAATAAGAGAAACTTTATTGGCTTGTGACAGAAATGCTTTCGCTGACGTTTTAGGGTTATTTCCTACGTTTTCAAATGTATGCAATTTAGATTCTGCAAAGTAATGAGTACGATCATGCCTAGTGAAGCAGCCAACCATAGGTAAGAACAGTCATTTGTGCCCAAATAGCTATTTGGATAATAGTCCTTTGTGGACATAACTATTTGGATAGTAGGTCAAAACAATCCTTCAACATACATTTATTACAAGTTACTAATATAAGCCCAAAGTAGAATAGGTACAAACCTGTCTTTCTTTTTCCTCTCTTCGATGGCTGCTTCTTATTTTTGCCTCTTTGTTCCTTGCCTTTACTTGGGGAGAGTGCATTGCTTTTATCAACTGCCAGTTTCTGAAAGTTCAAAGAATACAAGTATGTAATAAGAGAAGACAAACAAATATAAACTGAGATTACTATGCACATGATGCAGGCGATATGAGAAAGTCATTATAACTCTGCCAGTTCCTGCCTTCCTGGCGCTATGTACATGACAACAAAGCGATATGTCATCCATATCAGTGCATTAGAGAGATAAATGATCAACTACTGCTGCTAACTTCAACTAGGAATATTTACAGCAGTTTCAAAGGCTATGGCAAACACAAAGAATTACAATGATGAAAAACTTACCTCAATGCTTCCACGATGTATTTCAGATTGATTCTGTGGATTAGTATCCATTGGGGGTGTTTCTGATGTATGGATCGGATTATCTGTGAAGAAAATGTGCTTTAAACCTCAAAAGAATAAGAAATGAGAAATTGGAAAGTAAAATTCTCAGTTGTTCTGGTTTGAAGAAATAAAGAAAAACAGCTTATTTTGTGCCATTTATGTCCCCATAAGGTACTCCTTGCAAAGTCCACTCTGATATCACAACATAACAAATTTCCAAAAGAAGTGAGATACTAGCGCTTGACGAAAGTATATCCTATTGCAATGTCTTCTCAGCTATACCACGGTTGAGTTTGTAGATAAGAGATGAAAGCAATAGAACAGATAAGAGGAATAAGAGAAACTTTATTAGATTGTAATAGAAATGTTTTTGCTGACATTTTATGGTTATTTCCTATGTTTTCAAATGTTTGTAATTTAGAGTCTGCAAAGTAACGAGCACGATAATGCCCAGTGAAGCAGCCAACCATAGGTAAGAACAGTCCTTTGTGGCCAAACATCTATTTGGATAATAGTCCTTTGTGGCCATAGCTATTTGGATAGTAGGTCAAAACAATTCTTCAACATACATGTATTACAAGTTACTAAATATAAGCCCAAACAAGAATAGGTACAAACCTGTCTCTCTTTTTCCTCTCTTCGATGGCTGCTTCTTATTTTTGCCTCTATGTTGCTTCCCTTGACTTGGGGAGAGTGCGTTGCTTTTATCAACTGCCAGTTTCTGGAAGTCCAAAGAAGACATGTAAAAGGAGAAGACAAACAAAAATAAACTGAGATAAGTATGCACATGATGAAGGGAATATGACAAATCATTGCAACTCTGCCAGTTCCTGCCTTCCCAGCACTATGTACATGACAACAAAGTGATATGTCATCCATATTGGTGCAGTAGAGAGAGATAAAAGATCAACTACTGCTGCTAACTTCGAGTAGGAATATTTACAGCAGTTTCAAAGGCTATGGCAAACGCAAAGAATTACAATGATGAAAAACTTACCTCAATGCTTCCACGATGTATTTCAGATTGATTCTGTGGAGTATCTTCTGGGGGTGTTTCCAGTGTATGGATCGGATTATCTGTGAAGAAAAATGTGCTTTAAACCTCAACAAAAGAAGAAGAAACTAGAAATTGGAAAATAGAATTCTCAGTTGTTATGGCATGAAAAAAAGAAAGAAAAACAACTTATTTTGTGCCATTTGTCCCCATAAGGTATTCCTTGCAAAGTCCCCTCTGATATTACAACATAACAAGTTTCCAAAAGAAGTAAGATACTAGTGCTTGACAAAAGCATATCCTATTTTAATGTCTTGAATACCATGATTGAGTTTGTCGATAAGAGATGAAAGCAAGAGTATATAGGAATAACAGAGACTTTATTAGCTTGTAATAAAATGTTATGGCTGACGGTTTATGTCTATTTCCTAAGTTTTCAAATGTTTGTAATTTAGAGTCTGCAAAGTAATGCTAAGGGGGGACTTTGCAGAGCAAGACAGCTTCTGCAGTTGTAAATGCCACACAATGAATTGTGGGGTGTTCATCAAACAGTGGCAAATACCAGGTGCTACGCAATTTTCATGGTAAGAAACTAAAGGCCATGGTTATATAAGGCAAACATTTTCAAATTCATGCAACTAGTAAGAACGGTAAGCATAGTGCTAACAAACTTAGGTTCCAAAACATATTGCTGAAGACATAAATGCATTACATTGAACAAACCAAATCTGAATTCTGAATGAACTGGTATAAATGCAGGATTTGTTTGTAGTATGGTACAAAATTATTATAACAACAAAATAATGAAGCTGATTCTTCTAGATGATGATGCTTCTAAGAGGGGATGAATTGTCATGGTCCATATACTAGCTAGAAATAATCTTCCAATCCCATGCAGCAAATAATACTTTTTTAGTCCAATGGCATTCATTTTCAGAAAGCATATGCAAATAAATAAATAAACAAGTGGAAGAAGGAAGTTTGACTATAAACTACTAATATCATTCTACATATTATTTCCAGAAGAGCATCATTCCATGGCACTAATATGTCAACACGCCAACAAAATAACAGCAACGTGTTATCATTCTTTATCTTTAAATATCTCAGCAATTACAAAATAAATAGCTGATTTGCAGAATATGCACTACCATCCATTTCTTTAAGCAGTACAACATAGCAATGTCCACTGCTACAGTCACAAGAAAGAATTCCAACAGAACAGGCAACTATCGAGCAACTTTTGCATTTATGATAGGAATGATTTCACGGTTACAACAGAAAACGATTCCACAGGATAATACTGAGAGGAAGAGAGATTAAAGATTGAAAATTGCATAAAAAGTCATTGGGATAGATGTCGAAAAAAAAAGGCACCATTCTGAGTCGACCATCGCAACTTCAAGATTTTTTAATCAAGTCTAAAACTCTAAATTATATGCAAAAGTTTGTTGCCGTGGCTGTGCAGTATGAAGACAAAATGTTGCAAGTATTACAAGGTAATATTCTGAAATTAGAAGGGAAATGAGTACCTTGGGCCACATCACCTCCAACTATTTCCTGTCACACAATAGAGAAATCAAAGTTCCGTACGCATTAAACACACTAAGTTTAACATACATTACACATGCTGGGATCTAAATTTGGCAATAACTGTTTCTGCAGGGAGCCAGGAACTTACCTGATGTTCAGAATTGCCATCTCCATGATGCAATGGAGATACATTTCTACTTGTAATGTTCGTCAACACTTCAGTCGAGCCACCTTCCAAATGATCGGGAGGAGAAACCGTGCAATCTATTGGCATAACATCTTCCTGAGGTTTAAAATAAAGCATAATATATGCAGCAGAGTCAACGGTTTAGAAGAAGTTCCATAGCAAATATAAGTCCGAAGAACAAGTTTTAGTAACAACTACCTCTAACGAAACACTATGCCTGGAAGATGTGCCCTTCTCTTTGACAAGTTCACTATCTCTGTCCACACCAATTGGTGAATTTTCTGTTGGCTGTTCATCTGTTGTTACACCATCTGGAGGGTTCGATTCAGATTCAAGCACATGCTCTGGAGATTTGATGCTAGGACTTGGGGTCTCCATTGCAGTAGAGCCCTCATTGATCATCAAACCCACTGCATCAGATGAACGTCGCACAGGTGATTGTTTACACAGCAGACTTTCCGGAGACCCATCAGATTCATCATCTTTTGAAAGATCTGCATGTTTATCTTCCAGGGCATCTCCAACAAAAATGCGTTTCTCCAATTGTGAAATTCGAGCAAGGTTGCTTCCAGGTGCAGTTCTTTCTAATGCATGATCACTCATGGGATTTTTCTGCTCAGTAGTGTTGCTTGCAGGCGTGTCACCTGGAACATTGAAGTCAGGGAGACAAACTTTTCCTATGCTTATTTCTTTAATCTGTAAAGTCTTTCGGAGTAAATTTTCTTCTTCGTCTTCATCCAGATCTTTGAATGCGGAGAGTAAGTAATTCAAGGTGAAACTGTTATCCTTCCAAACAAATGAATCTGTACAGAGGAAAATATTTAAGCAAATATACAATCAAGTATTGACTAACAAATTGGAAATGAGGAGATAAGTGACCTTCTCTCGCTGAGATATCTGGTATAGCATCTTGGCTAGATCTTGAAGAAACAGGCTCTGTTGTCATTTCATGAGCTGAGCCATGCACATCATCTTGGGTAGTCTGTGATTCTGTCACAGTTTCTGTTTGGGAAGCAGGTGCTTCAATGGCATCTGGGGCATCAGAGCTGGCGCTAAACTTGTAAGAATGGACTGATTTTCTCCTGGTAATTAACCACCAATAACACACGGATCAATTCCCTTTTTATTTCAGGCAGATGCTTCAAGTACATCACAGTAATAAGTAACCTTTGTAGAGTGACGATAGTTAGCATAAAGTAGCTACAAACAATGAAGCTGAATACACTCCCACTGTTTGTCTCAATCAGTAGCAATGATAAGCAGGAGCAAATGATAAGGAAACACATTTGAATCAACTAAGTGCATAACACAAGATGCTATATAGCAGAAAGAAAGTAAGATTTCCTGCAGTTATATACCCATGTGGCTCATAAATTTTATTTAGTCACCCGAGTTTTGGAAAGAAATAAGAAGCAAACCTCAACAGCCCAGGTCGTAGCTTAGGTGGTTCAATGCCTCGGTTATTATATGTTCCTTCAGTTGGAACCTCACCCCTTAACCTTTTAATCTCCTTATCAGCTCCTGCATTGATGGACGGTTGTTAGAGTGTTGTTGACGCTTTTGCTAGCTACCAAAATTGAATGCCACGATATGGATTACTTTCGAGCTTTTCCAGGGTCAAAAAGTATTCATCAGGATCTTCAATGTTCAGTAACTCTGTGTAGTCCACATTTTGCACCGGTTTGCTGGAGAACAAGAGAAAGGAACCAAGTAATTTGAGCTCGAACCACCACTTACTACAGCAAAATGTAGCTAGCTAATGAACAAGCTACCGAGGGAAACAACAGTAGAACAAACAAGTAGCTTACTTCGCGGGGGGCTTGGTCTTGAGCCGAAATCGCTTGCGGTCCGGCGCAGGCCTTCTCCCCAGCTGGTTGTTCTTGCCATCCGCAGCGGCGGCAGCCACCCCCGCTCCATCGCCGCCATAGAGCTTCCCTATGTCCCCGACAGCCTTCATCGCCATTCTAGCCTGCTCAACTAGCTCCTTGGACCCTTTCTGCCCCGCACATTGACACATTTGTGATGTTAGCTCGAGCAAAATCCACACAAACAGAACAGTAGTTCGTCACTTCTCCTCTAAAGAATTATCCTCAAAAAAAAAAAACTAGAAAGAAAAAACAAGGGGTGGGGAGGAAAAAAAAACAGCAAAACCCTCGGAGGAGACTCCGAGCGAGATCGAGCCGCGCACGAGCACACCCATCGATTCGGTTCTAGAGAGCGCGGGGAGGGGGGGGGAGCGTACCAGTGGTCGGGAGATGCCGTCGAGCAGCGCCCCGCGGGCCGCGGAGGGGGACGCGGCGGTCCCGGGCGGCGCGGCGGGGCCGAGGGTTCGGGGGAGGAGGTGCGCCGGGGACGATGCGGCTAGGAAGGGATCAGCCGAGGCCATACGGCGGCGGCGGCGCCTCGATCTCGCCGCCGCGCGGGGTGGCGGAGAGCTCCCAGCGAGCGTGGGGGTGGGGTGGGGGATGGAGGATTGGAACGGGGAATGGGGGCGATTTGGCCCCCCTGTTGTGTGCGTTTCAAAAATCGAAACTGGCAGCGGGAGCCGGGAGGTTGGCGAAATGGCGAGGGGTAACGGGGGGGTTTCTAGAGATGGCAACGGGTATGGACCCAACGGGTTTCCACTCTCCGTACCCACACCCATTAAAACTAAATCTGCCCACTAGAAAACCCACACCCACTCACGAGTGAGAAATTCTCCTATACCCGCACCCGCACGGGTGATGGGTACCCATTGAAAATGAGTACCCACACCCGTTGCAACAATTTTGGTTATAGGCTGCAATGATATGTACACAGCAAGATTGAAAAACTAAGGCTCAAACAAACCATACAGGATACATACAGCCATCCACATTGCAAAATTAACAGCAAACCATCTCTACTCACGGTCACGGCCCCAGCCGGATCCAGCGACCTACCTCACTGCACCCCTGCCCCCAAGCGGCGACCGACGCGGTGGCTATCCCGCCCCCAGGAGGCAGCGTCCCTGACTCCCTGGACCCTGCCTCAGGCAGCGACCGACGCGGTGGATGTCCGCCCCCACGCTGGCGGCTGCTCGCACAGCGGCGCCCCTACTCCATCAGCACGACCGAGACCGGCTGGCGGCTGGTGTTGCGGCCGTGCGCGCCTGTGCAGTGGCGTGCCGGCGTGTGGCGTGCGCCCGTGCGGTGCGGCCGTGGCTTGGCCGCTTGGGGGATGGGGGCGGTGGAGAAACGGAGACAGGAGGGAGATGAGAGGAGGAGAAGGGGAATAGAGTTTAGAGGAGTAAGGAAAATAGGATTTATACCTAGGGTTTTGATGGTTGTGGGCCTTGGGCCATGTGCATATTGGGCTAGGCCTATGGGTATTTTCAACCCACGGGTTAATGGGTTCGGGTGACAGGAGAACGTACCCACACTCGTGTACCCGATGGGTGAAGGTTTTGCCCGTTAACGTACCCATGGGTATGATGTTTGGAACGTTTATACACCCTAATAGAGTAAAAACCCAACGGATTTCGGGTCGCGGGGCCCCGTTGCCGGGGTTTCGGTTTTTTTTTCTTTTTTCTTTTTTAGCGATTGCGAGAGATTTTTCATCGGCGAGGGGACACGGCCACATGGCGGGGCAGACGGGTTACAAAAAGTCGAAGGCTTGGCCTTTGGTGAGGCACAAGAGAGGGTCTAGCTATTGTGAGAAGCCTGCCCTGCCCTCCACCCACGCCTCCTCTTGCCACCGTCTACTGGGGTAAAAACAGTCACGGAAAGTTCCTTATCACCCGAGCACCGTTTTTTATAAGGGGTATTGTTTCTAACCATATCGTTTTTAGCTATTTTTAAATTTTATTTTTTCTAATTTCTTTCTGCATCTTATTAATACCGATATTGAGTAGTTTAAATGATAAATATGGTCAATTACCGGCTGATCGAGCATTTTTTTCAAAGAGATGCTACCGAATTTGATCGTTTACGACCGTTTTCACCTGTTGCCGTCACCAGCCATGGTAGCTTTAGCTCCAGGCCATCGCATGGCCGTCCAAGGTCCCAATCAGGACCCCCTCGATAATATACAAATCTCCTTCCCCTCTGCTAGAGCTGAGAAGCCCCACATCACTGGCGCCCTTTTCGACCGAACCAGCCATTACCTCGGCCACACAGCCGGCGCACTCTACTACTTTGGTCTCCAAGCACGTGGCCTCACGTTTCCACGGCTACCCATAACCCTAAAACCATCCCCTCACCAAGGAGGAGCTCCATGCGTGCAACATGCCCATCAAAGCTTGCCTCCGTAGAAGTGGTGGGAGGGTTGCTTCTAGATTTCTCGGAATATTAGGCCTTTTTCTAAAAAACCATGAGGGATATACATGCATGCCTCAACTGCCTATTCCTGGTTTCCCACACCGGACACGAGGGGAGCGCAAAGAGTATAGGGAACAATGTATTGACCGTTGAAACTGCATGCTGCCAATTCCTCTTAACCCAAAGAAAATAATGTGTCGGCTAATCCAAGGAGTAAAAAAAAATAAAAAAAACGAGAATATCTGTGCGGGTACGACGGTCATAAACTTATTATTAGCAGCAGCAGCGGTATATTTTGGTCCTAAGCAAAAGGGATTATGCTACTCGGTGGTTCTATCCATATTATCATTGAGCTTACTCCTAAACAATCTGATCTTACTTCCTACACGCCAAAGAAACCTTCCTACTCCAGTTTATTGTTGAGCTTGCATTACGCGGAGCTAAACAATGTTGGATTACGCAAAGCTGAACTGTATGCTACAGTTTCTTTGACAGGACTGAACCACTGTAATATTTTTCTTTTTACAGGACTGAACTAATGTTGCATTGTTCATCACTCCGTCGTCCATTTCCGAATCGATGTGAATGATGTGATCATTTCAGCCAATGGGACATTTCGTTGCCAAAATAAACCCTACCATTATTTATTGCAGCGAATGGTTCAGGGTCCGAGGATCTATCCATTTCATTGCTAAAATAAACATTATTACTCCCTCCATCTATTTTTTTGTCATATTTCATCTTGGCACACAGAATAAGGATAAGTAATTCTACTTATCATCCATTTAAATATGCTACTAGTCATTCATCGTAAACAAGCGATTCATTAATATTTACATTTCTCAATGCCCACGTAACCAATCATGTGTGGAAGAATGAAGAGTCATGCATTAAATCCAAGAAAGTCATCAATATGATAAGTTGTTGGATTGAAATATGCCTATCAAAAATAAAATTTTCAGATTTGGAAATATGACTATCAAAAATAGATGGAGGGAATATTATTTATTAGTAAAGCGAAAGATTGATAAGCCCTGTTCTTTTCTCCAACAAAAGTTGGATAAACTTTTGGATACTCGTGGCACGCTTTTCAAACCGCTAACGGTGTGTTTCGTGCGAAAACTTTATATATGAAAGTTGTTCTAAAATGTAAGATTAATCCATTTTTTAAGTTTATAGTAATTAAAACTCAACTAATCACACGTTATTAACATCTTGTTTTGCGTGAAACACTTAATCTTTATCTTCATCTTCATCTCCAGGAGATTCAAACACCACCTATGCCAAATGTTGCCAATATAAAGATGCAAATGTGTTGTCTGGTTTGATTCATTATCAAAATTTGGTGTAGTTTTATAAATAGAAGGTTTCGGAATTATCAAATTTTGATGGAGTTCGGTAAAGCTGTAATGATGAAATCATGTTCAGTTTATTGTCGTGCCAAAATTTAACTAAACAACAACAAACCTTAACTATAAGGAATAAGTTAACCGGAGGTCCCTCAACTTAACAGCGAGATTTTTTAAGATTCCTTAACCACAAAACCATAAATGTGTACCCCTCAACTCACACAAAACGTTCAAATGAGGTCCCATGGCAGTATATGTGAGTGGTTTCGCTGACGTGGCATCCTAGTCAGAAAAAAATAAAAAAGTATATGGGGCCCACATGTCAGTTGCACATTTTCTTTCTTTTCTTTTCTTTTCCTTCTCTTCTCTTTATCTCGGCGATGGGCGGGCAGCGTGCGAGCATAGCAGTTGAGCGACAGCGGGCGGCAACAGTTGAGCGCGGCCTGCGGGCGAGCGGCCGAGTGCGGCGGCGAGCGAGCGGCCGAGCACGGCGGCGGTTAGAGCGGACGAGCACGACGGCGGGCGAGCGGACGAGCGCGAGTAACCCTTACTCCACAACGGCCATGGCGACCCGTGCCGCAGCTCGAGTAACGTCCATTAATTCTTCTGTCACATACAGATAATCTGGTTCTTTAATTTGTCTTTGCTTACCGTGATGAGCTCTGAATTTGCAGCCAATGGCGGGATCCATGGCAGCCTCACCGGCATCAGCATCGGCGTCGGTGTCAGCTCAACGCAGAAGGTGTGGCGCAGCCTGTAGGCATTCGGTGACATCGCCTTCGCCTACTCCTTCTCCAACATCCTCATCGAGATCCAAGTGAGTGAGACTGACACCATTAGGCATTAGCTACAAAGTTAACTTGCTCTGTTTTTTTTCTCTGAGCAAACCTTGTTTGCTCACCGCTGCTTGCTCTGTTTTGTTGTTCATGACACGATCAAGGCGCCGCCACCGTCGGAGGTGAAGGTGATGAAGAGCGCGACGAGGCTGAGCGTGGTGACGACGACGGTGTTCTACATGTTGTGTGGGTGCATGGGCTACGCGTTGCCGGACAACCTCCTCACGGGGTTAGGGTTCTACGAATCCTTCTGGCTACTCGACGTCGCCAACGTCGTGCACCTCGTCGGCGCCTACCAGGTGTTCGTCCAACCAATCATCGTCTTCATCGAGCGCTGGGCGTCCTGCCGGTGGCCAGACAGCGCGTTCATCGCCAAGGAGCTCCGCGTGGGGCCCTTCGCGCTCGGAGTTCGTCTGCCTCACCACCGTCGTCGCCATGCTCCTTCCTTTCTTCGGCAACGTGGTGGGCTGAGTAGGTCGGCGGAGCTCGCCCACCGCCGCCACGCTCCTCCTTCGGCCACCTCCGCCGTTGCGGCCCCCTCCTCCGCCCGCCGTGCTCGTCCGCTCGCTCGCCACCGTGCTCGCCCGCCGTCCGCTCTGCCGCAGCTCGCTGCGCTTGCCTTCTGCTCGCCCGCCGCCGCCCATCACCACTCTGCCCACATCCCGGCGTCGCTTCGTGTTGCCGCTGCTCCGCCCGCAAGCCGTGCTTGCCTGCCACCGCTCGGCTGCCGCGCGGACCCGCCGCCGCGCTCGCCCACCGCCCGCCCATCGCCGCTCCGCCCTCTCCGCCGCTGGCCTCACTCACCGAAGAAGAAGAGAAAGAGGAGATTTCAGAGAAAGAGAAGAGATAAAAGAGAAGAGAAGGAGAGGAGAAGAAAAAAAAAGTGCTACTGGCATGTGGGCCCCATGTACTTTTTTAATTTTTTTCTGACTAGGATGCCACATCAGCGAAACCACCCACATATACTGCTATGGGACCTCCTTTAAACGGTTTGTGTGAGTTTAGAGGTACACATTTCTAGTTTTGTGGTTAAGGGGCCTCAAAAAATCTCGATGTTAAATTGAGGGACCTCCGGTGAACTTATTCCTAAATATAACAAGTATAAAGTGTAAACACATAAATGAGATGAAATATCTTGTAGGCCTTGTTGCAATGGGCCTTATACGGTCAAAGAGCCCAATTGTATGCTACGAGGCCCACATCACAACCACTCGAGCCCACCCAAATCAAAAGATTTCTCACGCCGATTAGGCCCACACCAACCAACCACCCGATCCAACACACACATCACGCCCCCAGTCAACACCACACCCTGCAAAACCTCCCCCAAACCTCCAATGCTCCACCGCATCGCCGCACTCCGGCCGCCGCCGCCGCCGCCGCCGTCGCCTTGGCGGGCGGCTGCGGCCGCGGCGGGATATGCATCCAAGTCCACCACCCTCCCGCAGAAGCAGCAGCGCGTGCGGGACCACGCCTTCGACGGCATCATGGAGGTGCAGAAGCGGGTGCGCCGCTTCCTCGCCCTCCACTCCCTCCTCCTCTACGCGGCCGCCCCCACCGCGCTCGCCGGCGGCGGGGGAGGGGCCGTGTCCGTGCCCTTCTCCCGCCTCGGCGCGCTCGCCCGGCGCCAGCTCCGCCTCGCGCCCCTCGACGCCGGCCGCTTCCTCCTGCGCCACCCGCACGCGTTCCACCTCTTCCTCCACCCCGTCCACCGCGTCCTCCACGCCCGCCTCACCCCGCGCGCCGCCGCGGCGCTCCGCCTCGAGGCCGACGCCGTCGCCTCCTCGCTGCCCGCCTCCATCGTCCGCATCCGCAAGCTCCTCCTCCTCGCGCCCCCGCACCACCGCCTCCGCCTCGAACACATCCGCCTCCTCCGCCGGGATCTCGGCCTCCCCGACGACTTCGCGGAGTCGATCATCCAAGCCCACCCCGCCCTCTTCCGCCTCACCCCCGACCAGTTCGTCGAGTTCGTGCCCTCCCCCTCCGACCCGCCCGGCCTCTCCGTCGCCGCCGTCGAGCGCGCGCGGGAGCAGCACTACCGCGAGCACCGCAACCCTGGCGCCGGGGAGGAGGACGTGCGCTTCGCGTTCCCCACCCGATTCCCGCCAGGCTTCAAGATCGGCAAGTACTTCCGCATCGCGGTCTGGAAATGGCAGCGGCTTCCCTACGCGTCGCCGTATGCTGACGTCTCCGGCCACGACCTGCGCTCGCTTGAGGCGCGGCGGCGCATGGAGAAGCGCGCCGTCGCTGCGGTCCATGAGCTGCTATCTCTCACAGTTGAGAAGCGAACCACGCTAGAGCGCCTCGCACTGTTCCGTGATGCTCTCGGCGTGCCCAAGAAGATCAAAGAGTTCTTGCTCAAGTACCAGGGCATATTTTACATATCCACGAGGGGAAACCAGGGGAAGTTGCACACCGTGTTCCTTCGGGAGGCGTATTACAAAGGTGAACTCGTTGAGCCCAATGAGATTTATGCGGCGAGGCGGAAACTGGAAGAGCTGCTCATGTTGAACCCACAGAAGGCGAATTTGGACCGAATGTTCACTAGCATGGGTCGTGGATGGGATGAGCTTGGTGGCGGTCGTCGTGGGGGAGCAGAATTGAGGGAGGAGTTCCTTGGTGAAGCGAGTGACCGGAGAACGAATACTAAGGTTGATGGTGAATATGGTGGAGATAGTGGTGATGACTCGGGAGTTGAGTCACTCTACATTGAGTGAGGAGCAGAATCATACCGTGGTACTAAACATCAACTAAGGAAGCTTGCCTTCTAGAACAAGTATCGACACCATCTATGAGCTCTCTTTCTTCTGCTGGTGAATTAACAGTTGGATGCAGCAATGCTGATTGAGGAGAAGATATTACATCCTAAGGCTAAAATTAGAGAGATATCTTGCGCTAAAACTGTTGATATTGTCAAATGAAGACTCTGGGTGTTGGCATTTAACTTCACTGCAATGGTCGGATGGCATCTTTGTTTTGCACTCCGTTTTATGAAGAAGGAACAAAGAGAGAGGCATGAGAACTGAAAACCCTTCATTATTTTGAGCACTCGTTCTTCTGAGTTCTGACTAATTTTTACTGAGTCTTGTGAGTACTCTCAGTCTCTCACACTAGGAGTGAATCTCTCTCTCTCTCCACTTAAAAGGTATTTATATCTTGAGGATTGGCATTGCCATCTCAAAATTCTGTGACTATACTACCTATCATTTCTTATATATCGTATAGAAACAATTGAACTTTTCTGTGCAATAAGTGTTGCAGGGAAACTCCAGCTAAAACTGAATTGTTTGATGTCAGTGTTAATGTCAACATCATATTTAATCTTATTAATTGTTTGATGTCTTCCTTGCTATGTCTTGAGTCTTGGCTAAGAAATCTGGAAATACAGTCCAACAGAATTAATTTGCAGAGTTGATCTCAAGGAAAAGTAAGACTGGCCTTTTGGATCCTTTTGCCGTATCTACTCATAGGCTGTTTGGCTTTGGGGGTTTGTGCTGGGAATTTAGCCTAGGCACTATGCTTTACCTTCTACATAGTTAACGAAGGATCATTGCATCTGTCTATGATTTGATGCATAATCAATGTTTATGAACTATACATTGCAGACATGTTGTCATCTGTCCATTGTGAATTTGTGATAGCTGAACCTTACTATTTAGTACCATATTTTACCTGCCAGCTTTGTAGTTCTCAGAATGTTTAACCTGACTGAAGGTCTAACCTATTAGATATGCGTTCTTTACTATCCAAAGATAGTTGGACTTCTATTCCGAGCGTCATGGTTGTAAACAGCATTAACTGACTGATTAAACAAAAATAGTTTCTATTTCATTTCACTTAGTAACTAATCAGCTTGACTGTTCTTCAAAACATTGTTCAAGTTCGGAACTTTTGCAATCCCTTGATTAATAATGATTCTTCTATGCAAAACAACAAATGTTCACATGTGAATGTAACCTTAATGGCTTTCATATCTGCAATGAAGGAACATGGTACAGATTGAAACGGCAACCAATGCACAGTGCAAAAGACATTGATGAAAAATCAGAAAACAAATATTATAGGAAAAGTCCATTCAGTTTGGAACAGAATGATGAAGGCTCATGTAGCACTGCAGTTGGCATGCCTTATTGAGGTCTGCAGCTTGCTCACTATTTCAAATGCATAGTGCTGGTACGTAGGGGTGAAAACGGTACGGAAACTTACCAGATTCCGGACCTATTTTCGAAAACGGAATCTGTCGGTCGGAATTTTTCGGAAACGGAAACGAATTCGGAAATATTTTCTCGGAAACAGAAATGGAAATGATAAGGGCAGTTTCCGTCGGAACTCGGAATCGGTCGGAAACTTTCCGGAAATTTTCTCGGAATTTCCGGAAATTTTGTGACTGAAATACCCTGGATTCTTTTTTTAAGCACTGAAGAGTGAATACCATGGTGTTTGGCTATTATTTTTTAAAAAATATTTGTTATGCAAATCTAGAGTTACATAAGAATATTTTTTTCCTGCATTGAGATTTATCAACAACATTACTCTCTTAAACATAGATAATCTATTCCATAGATTGTGTTTTGTGATATACGGTTGAGACTTAAAAATTAGTCTTATATGATTGTGTTTATGATGAATTGTTGACTGATGAGACTTGAGAATTGGATTTATCAGTTTGAGGGGTTTTTTATTCCGATAAATTTTCGTTACCGTATCCGTGATGGTTCATTTTCGCTCTGTTTTCGGTTTCGATAATATTCGATTCCGTTTTCCTATCTGGAGTTTCTGATTTCGAAAAAAATATGAAAACGAAAACGATAAAGGTGGTTTCCGTCCGTTTCCGTACCGTTTTCACCCCTACTGGTATGTCTTGTGTCGTGGTTGTGAGTTGTGATTGTCTCTGCCATATGCACTTTTGTAAAAGACTTCAACTCTTCAATATGCATTGGAATGCTGAGTGTAATGAATTGGCAGTCTGTAGGATTTGTTCTTTGTCGCGACCCGGAACAGAACGCTAAAATATTTCCCCACGACATTCTTCTAGATATCATTTGAAACCTTTGAATTTCAACTTGCGTGATATTGTGAAGCCACTAATTAGTACGTGATGTCATCATTGCTATAATGTCTGATATTATCTGCCAAATATGCTGCTATCGTTGGACTCCATTTTACTGCTGTGCAGATGTTTTTACTAAATACTCCCTCCGTTTCAAAATGTTTGACACCGTTGACTTTTTAGCACATGTTTGACCGTTTGTCTTATTTAAAAAAATCTGTAAAATATGTAAAACTATATGTGTACATGAAAGTATATTTAACAATGAATCAAATGATATGAAAATAATAAATAATTACTTAATTTTTTTGAATAAGACGAATGGTCAAACACGTACTAACAAATCAACGGTGTCAAATATTTTGAAACGGAGGGAGTACGTAGTAACATGTTTTAGGATTTATTTTATGTCATTGACTGTGTACATTTTAAGTGTTAACACCCAATTATACTTTAATTATTCTGAATTCTTAACTAACTTATTGTCATCTTGCCACCTGAAATGGTCAGCTCTCCCTTCAAATAATAGTACTATGATCCTCAAGTAATATCATCTAGTAGTAGCATTGCCATCCTCTGCTCATACCAGATAATCGTGCTTGTCATTTTTATTTTGGCCTTCTTGTGTGATGGGGACTTAGTTCTGGTTTGTGCCTCCTATCTAGCTATATGTCCTTTTCTGAAAATTTTTTTGTTTGATAGTGTCATTAGATGCTTATAGTAAATGGTCTATTCTTGTAACATGTATTGATGACAGCATGGGTTAAAGGATATAGGTCTAGTTTAGCAATCGAACATAACCTCATTTATGATGTTAAGTGCTGATGAAGATTTAAATGTACAGAAACAATCTATGTTGTCCACAATCCAACAGACATATTAACCAGGTCTCTCTTGCTCTATTTAAATCAATTGACAGTAAGCTTTTCTATCAGCTTTTGTAACTGCTATCATTTTCGGGTATATCTTTTGTCCTCTACTTTCTATCTGCCTTGTTGTTGCTACTTCTTATGGAAAAAAACATACAGGATTACTTTTGTGCGCCAAATCCATATTCCCTTTTATTTTTTCTCAAACCATTATGCAGTGTTTTGCTATTGAACTGAGCTAACTATTTTTCTTGAATGATCCAGAGCAAAAGAGAGGTGATATAGAGTCAGTACATTGCACTTATTATATCTGGAAATATCATCATCTCTATCATTTATGCTGCCTATATTAGCATCGTACATTTTGAAATGAAGGAAGTATGTGCTTATGTACCATGAAGGGAACCAGGCAAGAGAAAAAAGGTGTATTGTTTATAGGAAAACTCACCGCATAAAAAAATTGTTTACATATTTATGTTACCAGGAATCAGCCAAGAAAAAGGGATAACAGAAATAAAAATTTTCCGGATCTGGTCGTCCACCGAGCGGTAAGCCCATCGCTTGCGGCCATCCCAAGCGAGCCCTCATTTGGTCCCCTTGCTGCTTCAAGCGAGCGCCTTCCTCATTGTCGTCGTAATCTCTAGCTGGGAGCTGAGCCACTGCAGTCACTGTGTGAGGGAAAATGGAAAATCGTGACGAGTCAGAGAGAAGCTGGTCACCGATAAACCATCCTATTGTGTGGTTCCCCTGGCTCCCCCGATGCTCCTACTATCGGATCTGGTAGCGACGAGCTTCGATCGGCGTATCTAGCCGACCTAGCTTGAGGAGGAGGAGGAGAAGCGGTGTCACTAGAGGAGAAGATGTGAAGGAAGGAGAGAGGCTCCAACAAGGAGGGAGCACAAAATGAGGAGTGAATGGGTGGGGAGCGGTGAACCCTCGCTTAGAGGCTACACAGACGGGTGCAGAGCTGCTACCGCGGATGCGCGCTCATCTGCATTGAGCGGGCATGGTTCGCAAATGAAGCTCAATTCTTGTGTTTCTGTTAGCCTGCTTTGTGGTGATGCAAATTGCATGACTAAGCCTAGATTGTTGAACAGACATGCAGGCTACCAACACATTGCTCTTCTCCACGCGCGGGTACAAGCTAGGCTCCGTATAGGCAACCAAACACATTCTTAAGGTACAATTGAATCTATAGATAGCTCTTGCTTAGCTAGGCTAGCTCTTGCCTAGCTCTTACTTAGCACCTTAGTGTTGTAGCCTGTGAGCCCTGAACCACCAAGCATGCCCCCTTTGCCTTTTCTTTTAAAAAACGTATAGTTTAGCACTTGTTGGCGAACAATGATGTTCCTCCAGTCCTCCTATGCCCTTCATATATGTGAATGTTATAAAGGGCTAGTTAATGGGCATGTACCGCCGTGACTTAATTGTATCATACAAAACCCCTATAGATTAGTGTGTTTGAGGTAGCTTATGATAACTGCAGCTTCTTCCACAGTCCAAACTCATCAAATAGTTTATATTTTTATTCATATTCTAAGATAATGTTGTTACAGAACATGAAAAATAAATTAAAAGTGAGAAGAAGATGGAGATTCTCGTAAGCTAGCTACCACCCAACCGCTCTTCAGAATCTTAAGCTCCATCAAACTATGGCAGTTTGTACATATGAACCAACCGTCCAAATCTACGACAAAACTTTGCTTCATTAACAAAATAGGGGCAAAACTGCAAAACATTAAAATGTGAGAGCAAAATAGCAAACTATGGCAGTTCGTACATATAAACCAACCGTCCAAATCTAGGACAAAACTTTGCTTCATTAACAAAATAGGGGCAAAATTGCAAAACATTAAAATGTGAGAGCAAAATAGCAATTGGAATTGACAGTGGGGGCATGAACACAATTATCCCTTAAAGTTATACTCCTACTTTCTTCATCCCGAAATAACTCGACAAGCCCCATCATAGGTTGAGCTGTTTTGGGACGGAGGGAGTAATGAACTTAAAAAACATAATAACATCTACAATATCATATTAATTTCATTAAATCCACCATTAAATATTTTTATATTATATCTTTTGTGTTTAAATATTACTATATTTTTCTATAACTTCAATTGAACTTAAAAACTTCAAATTATAATAAAACTAAAATATCTTATATTCTTAGTTACTCCATTCGTTCCATTTTAAACGCAACCATAAGTTTTTATGTCCAACTTTGATCATCTATTTAAAAAAAAATTAAAAACATAAATCACACATAAGGTAATATTATGTTTTATTAAAAAAAATTAAAAACATAAATCACACATAAGGTAATATTT